TTTTCCGCAAGAAATTAGTTGCCATATAGCCAAGAAGCGTTTTTTTGTCTGGCTGCTCTCCACATTTGGCATACTTTCAAAAACCACCGGGATTTTCTGGCCGGAATTTTTTTAAAAATCACCTGTTTTTGCGATTTTTGATCCGAAAGTTTATGACGCAACTACGAGGGCGTTGTATATTTTTTTTTAAAATTCAAGTTTTTCCACAGCAACAAAAAAAATTTGATATTCAAACGCAGCTTTCGTCTTGATGACTCTCCCTCTTTCCCGTGCTTTCACTCAAAAAGACCTTCGAATCTCCCGGCGGCCGCTTGAAATTGCGAGCTAAAACTTTCAGGGATTGATTAATAACCAATTCAGAATAAATTGGCAAATTTCTTTGTAAATCTAAGCCCCTCAATATAAAAAATTCCCGGTTTATGCCAAACCTACCTCTTAGAACTCCTTCGAAAACACCCCTATTTTTTGGGTTTTTAAAATTCAGAGCTACTTTCAAAAACCTCAACCAAAACACTCTCAGCCAGCTGCTGTTAGACTACAATACCGAACGCCGCAAGTTTCGAATGAAGGGAGTGAAGGACAGCGAGATTTTTTTTTCAAAATTCAAACAAACAGGCAGGTGTTCTGATACAAGTACGCCAAGGTTTAGATAACGGTCAAACAAAAGCCCTCGAGGTTTATTTTTTTGATTTTTTTGATAAACACATGATGAAACGGAGACGAAACTTTTGTAGAGTTACAATTTTTTGAGTGATTTTATGTAAAATGAAGGCTTCTTGGAGAAAATTTTTTTTCTAAATCTGATGCCAAAAATGAATTTTTTTTGATGACAAAAGGATCAAAAAATATACAAAAGTTTTAGTTGGTAGAATCAAGCCTTTGAACAACAACCTGCGAGAGGTCAAAAAATCAAAAATTTATTTGTTTTAGAAGGGCTTTGCTGTAGAGAGCGTATACTGTGTGCTAAAATTGACTTTTAGGGCATCTGAAATTGTTGATTACGAACAGTTTTTGTTGTCGTTCGCTATATAAAGTCTTCTATAGCGAACATTTTATTGCAAAAAAAAAATTTTTTGATGACAAAAAAATTTTTGATGACATAATTTTTTTGCCTCTTAAAATTTTTTCCGAGGACTAAAAAATTGAGGCTTAAATTTTTATTTTTATTTCTCTTATTTCTGTTCACAACTTTCACCAAGAAATCACCCAAACCCTTTCAATTACAATTAAGACCCCAAGGAAGTTGTTTACAACCGGTTTAAACAGTCCGTTTTCTACAAAAGTTCCGAAAACTGCTTTTTTCGTTGTTTACTGTTTTCTCGGATTGACTTCCCAGCCCCGTTAATCAATTCTTCCCGATTAAATTTGGTCTCGGAATGGGCCGACTCATAGATTAGTCATATAATTTATAATTATTTTCATTGATTACATAGAACAAAGAGGAGAAAATATAAAGAAATAATTTAAAAAAAGGACAAATTTGGAAATTAATTAAAAAAAGATGATAAAAAAATTTCTAAAATGACGTCATCTATTTTTTTATTTCTAGTGGAAGTACTTGAAATGCGACGCTCAGATTTTGATGAAACTTGGCGCAAATTTAAAACAATGTCTTCTCAAATATATGTCAGAATCCTAGCTCGCGCTTTGCAGAAACAACCGAGATTTTTCTGGTCGAAAATTCGCGAAAATTTCTGACTTTTTGCCGAATTTCGGCACGAAAATTTTCATGCCTACTTCTCTCGTAAAGGGTAACGTTTCTACAAAAAATCAATTTTTTCTGAACGAAACTGCCAAAGTTATGGCCAAAAAGCGTTTTTTTTCTGACCGCTCTCCACGTTTAGCGTACTCTCTCGGTGCTAAAGATTATTCAATATCTCGGCGGCGCCTGCAAAGCGCGAGCTAAAACTTTTAGGAATTGATATTTTGTCCATCCCCGACACGTGTGCAAAATTTCAAGATAAATCAAAAAACGAACGTCGAACTTGCGGCACTTCCCTTGTTACCTATTTTCCCGATCTATCACATTATTATTTCTCTCTTTCCAACAATTTCCTCATCCATTTTCTACATAACACTCAAATCCATTCAAAATAATGCGAACACGGGGATTCGGATTATCTTCTGGATGACGTCAACTGTTTTTGTCCGAACGTTTCCGCGGAAAAGCGGGGAAAAAGCAATTGTTACGGCCGCCTTTCACTTTCAGAGATAATTGGAAAAGCGATGAGGAAATAAATGAGTGTTGAAATTAGGCAATAAGCTATAAAATAGGAGGAAATGTTAGTAGTTTGGAGTGCATTGAGGAATTAACTTGTTTTGGGTACCGTAAATTTTTATTTTTTTAGTGAAAAATCAAAATTTTTTTTTTATGTTTTTTGTTTTCTATCTACCGTTAACAATCTCTACAACAAAACCTGTCCATAACGGACAATTTCAGAAGCTACAGTAGCCAATTTTTGGCCAAAATGAACGTCCACGTAACAAAATTCTTCTATAACAAGTAAATTTTCCGAACTACGACGATTCGTTGTAGAGAGGTTTGAGCGTATACTGTAATATTGGAGAATTACCTGAAATCGTATTTTACCAAAAAGCTCAAGCTTTCAGACCCCCAAAAAACATCTAGAACACCCATAACTCCCGAATAAGCGTTCGGCTCCCAGCCCGAGCACGAGTTGTTCGCCCAAATGCCAGAAGATTCCGAGGGCCTAGCTGTCGTCATCATTTCGAGAATACTGTTTTCATCCCCTCCCGTCCCCCCTTCCGCGTGTCCCCGCTCTAATATTTCGAAAACGGTTGGAAATCGCGGGAAAAAACAACCGGCCCCGGAGGCCGAAATCAGCTGATAGACGTTCGCTTTTTTCGCGAAGAGACAAATGGCGTCCAGCCTAAGGGTCAGATGGGGTCTTACAGAGCCCCTTTCCAGCCAGTTTTTTCTCCCCTCCTTTGCGTCGTGGAGAGTCTCGTGAGTTGGGGAAAAATTGGGGAGAAATGCGTTAAAACGGAGGAGTTCGAAATGGTCAGCTGACCGTCTTGTGCTATCAGATGCGAATCAGAGTCGTGTGGATTATTTTTAGAAGATTGGGCTTATGGCTGATAACAGCGAGACAACCAAGAGTGTAAAACACTGAAACATAATTAAACGAAAAATCAGGAGAAGTGCTCACATGTTGCAACGATTTTTTTGGATGAGTTTGGGACACATTTAGAGCAAAAGTCGGTCAAGAAAGGCATGGGCAGCTGAGGTATTCAGCGATTTTTGCCGCCAAATGATAAGGTAGGATTTGGACTGAGAGAAAAACGGTTTCTGGCCACAGATTTGCTCATTTTTTGTTCAAAACGTTGAGTTTTTGTTGAAACTTTTAAGTCAGAGCTCGCAAAAATTGCTACAAAAATTTTCATGCGGCTCCTGAGTTAGTGAAATAATAATTTCTGAAAGTTTTAACCCCAGTCTTTGGCGGCAGCCATCTTTCCACGATCCTGTTTTAGAGAAAGCACAAAATTTTTCGGCTCGATGCTCACACATTTATCGAAAAAGTCTGTCAAGAAAGGCACTCATTGGCGTCGAGAAAGGAACAGTGCTAGAGACATTCAACGATATCTCCCGTCGAGAGATAACATGGGATTTGGTCAGAGAGAAAAACCGTTCCTGGCCAAAGTTTGTCCCATTGTTTGTAAAAAACATTGAGTTTTTTTTGTTGAAACGCTGATTTGACCGATTGAAACTTTGTTGAAAACAATCTGTTGAGAGAAAACAAAATTTTCAGCTGTTCGAAAAAGCAATAACATTGTGCTTAAGCATCTGATTGAGGGATTACTCATAAAATGGCTTTGTTTTCTGCTGATAAATGGATAGAAACAAAAAAATCTTTAGTCTTCGTGATCAGATTTCTTTTTTTTTTTTTAATTTTGAGTCATCATTGTGTGTAGGCCAACTATCAATTCATTCCTGCAACCTTGTCTTGCCGTTTGCAGTACCAGCTGAGATATTCAGCAGTACCAGCTGAGATATTCGAAGCCGAAAGATCACGAGCAATCTGATCAGGAAAGAAAAACGGTTTCTGCCCACGGCTCAACAGAACTTCGAATTTTAAAAGACAAATTCTTATTTGACTCATCAGTTTCAACTTCAACGAATTTTGAACCTTACACTCAAAATGAATTCTTTTCAAGTACAGCCGGACTTTGAACCTGAAAAAGAGGAAGGTTCAAGTTTCCCCGAACTTGCCCTTTATGTGCAATTTCTTAGTTGACCGAAAAAATTTTTAAATTTATAAAAAAGCAAATCTGATTTTGTCTTGAAAACATCTTTTTCTTCTTGTATGCTGATGGATAAGTTTGTACACATAAAGGTGGTCATACAGCTTATTTATATGACCACCTTTACATAAAAAAAGAAAGATGTATGGCAAAAATCCCAAAAAATACCCGTCTTTTAAGAAGTTAAAACTTGGGTTTGAGCTCGAAGATTTTGAATGCCTGAATTTAAAGTTCATCTCCAAGAAGATCAAACTTGAACTTTTTTTTTTGTTGAAACGTTGCCCTGGCCAATTGGAAAAACGCTTTACGTTTTTATGCCCAGAGATACTAGTCGCGACATAAAGTCTGTAGAATTTGCACCGTGAGCTTTTTTCGCCCGAGCCGCTACAACTTCCCGGTTTTGCACTAGCGACATGCACTTTTCGGCGATTGCCCCCGCGATGTCGGCGAAGAAAATTCTACGGACTTTATGGCGCGACTTTAAAATGTCGTATTTTAAAAAGATGCTTTGACTGCAAAAACTTGGTTGTTTAATAATCATAGTTATGAAAATAACCATTAGACACTGCAGCGTATTTTACTCTTTACAATTCCAATAAAAAAAATAAAATAGTTTATATATTGAATAAATAATGCAGTGTCAGTAAAAATCTCCCGTGTCTGTCGTTACAGTTATGCGAATTTCCTGCGGTAAACAAAAGTTCCTGAGAATTGGTTTGAGGGTCAGGGAAATACAATCAAAATACATAGAAAGTCAAAAACAATAATGTGATAAACAAGCTGAATGGTGCTACTGAGAGTGTTGAGCTGACTTCTGAGAGCTTTTCGAGATTCACCGTGACATAAAAGGGCTCGCCAGTGCCGGCGGCGTTTCGAGGAGTGAATTCGAACATGTAGCGCTTCTCTTTGAAGAGTCCGCTGATCTTGTAGATGTTGGAACGTGCTGAAATTGAGGATAGTAGGCGTTGAGGTGTCTGTGAAAAGATTTGGGCTAACAAAATTGGAAACTCAGCCAATCAGAGGTGGACCGAGATTTTTAGATCAAAAGCCGGCAAAAATGCAACACTTTTTAGTAAGTTTCGGTAGCCTAATGTGTGTGAAAATCTAAAGAAATCTGAAAGTCGCGATTTGAGTGGGTCTTCTAAAGCACTCCTGCTTATTCAACTCGTATTTTAAAACCTATTAGAGAAGAAACACACCTTTCTTGACCACAATCTCCGAAGCGGCATGATAATTTTGTCGAAGCCATTCCCTCGCCAAGTTATCGCCGGGTTTCTAAATTTCAAAAATTTTTTTATTTCTGATTAATATTCTTACCAAATTTTGCGTTGACGTGGTATTTAGTCGTTCGATTGCATAGCGAATTGCATAATTGAGGACTGGAAGCTCGTTGTCTTCATCGTTTTCAATTTCCCAAGTTGTTTCGCCGTCATCGAAGCCGAGGAAAGTGACTTTAGGCTGCATCGGAGGCTCTGGAAAGTGAAAGATGATTTTAGTAAGAAATAATGATAAAAAACTAGTAATATATAGTAATCAAAATGAAAAAAAACAAGCTTTGTAAGTCCCTTACTAGCTGTCTCCAGCTGAATATCGATGTGACTGCTCAAGATTGCATTATGAGCTACACATCTATACGTTCCCAGATCCTCATCTTGCACATCCACGATGCTCAAAACAGCGTAATTTTTGGATGGAAAACTGTCTACTCGGTATTCCGAGCTGGTTTGGAGAATGTGACCGGCTTTCATGAACTGGAAATTCACAACATCCGGAACCGAGCTCTCGACTTCACAACGGATTCGGGCGGTTTGCCCGGGAACCGCGTAGACGGTACTGTGCGTCGGCTTGAACTCGGGCTTTTCTGAAAATAGATTGGGAATAAAGAAGTTGTAAATCGAGTTTCCCGTGGTTCTGCTTCATGCTCATTTGTAAGACAATTCTTCTAAAAAAAATGTCTTTTTTAGGCTATGTTCGTGAGACAGAAATTTGCCAAAAAATTATAGTTTTTTACAAAGTTTTTGCATCAAAAGTTTTATGTCTTTTTATACCGCAGACGGCAATGTTTCCACAAAAAATCAATTCTTTCAGTACGAAGCTGGAAAAAATATAAGCAAAAAGGGTTTTTCCCTCTTTCCGCTCTCCGCGTTTTGCGTATTCTCTCGGCCAAAAAGATCGTTGAACAGCTCGGCTGTTCATAAAAAAGAGCGAAAACTTTCAGTAATCGATATGTGCCCTATGGGGCGCATATTGATTGAAAAGTTTATCTGGCAAATTTCCCAGAAGAGTGAAAAGTTTAAAAGTCTCTAATTTTAAGTCACTTACTCCAAACCTTGATCTTCACTGTTTTACTGAAGACTCTTGTCACCATATTTGGCATTGTCACATACGCGCTGCAAGTGACTTCTGCGTTTTGGTATTTGTCAGTCAACGCCGGAATAGTAAATTCATTGTTAGCTCTGACAAACTTTAGCTCCGATTTGCTCAGTATGACATCGTACTGGTCATAGGCTTCAATTCCGGCTTCAGGATTTGACTTTGTTCCACAGTCAATAGTCAAGGGCTCACCAACTTTTCCACCAAGTTCTGTGGCATTTGAGCTCCACACAACGGGTTCTGGAAGAATATTGTATTGAAGTAGAGACAAGGCTGGACTTACTGCTCACTCTGATGTTCACGTCAATCCTTTTCACTAGTTCCCCTCGGTCAAACAGCTGACAGTAGTAGGTTCCTTCGTCGTGAGGCTGAATTCGAGTGAAGATCAGAGTTCGGCGGACATTCCCGCTTTGCAACCGCATTGGGATTGTGAACCGACTGAAAAGAGATATAATTATGTCGGGAAAATAATGAGCATTCTGTCGCATCAAAAATCGTACCGCCGCCAAAAAAAAGATAATTTTGTCGCGAAAAAATTAAACTGCTTTTCACTTCATCGACACGATCGGCGCAGTTACATTGTGCTCATTATTTTCCCAACAGACTGGTACGCCGATGTCAGTCTTGTAAATTATAAAATGGCTTTGTAAATTCGTTGTCTTATCGTTAGAAGATTATGAAACGATAGAGAAAGTGCTCCAAGCCCGGTGCCCAGAATCAGATGAATCTTGGCAAAAATTGGGATTATTTTTTAAGACGTGTTTGAGATTCCTAGCTCACGCTTCAAACTATCATACAAAGGTTTTTTTGCCAAAAGTTGGCGAAATCTGGTCGTTTTTGCACAAAAGGTTCTGCCTTACCTCATTGAAGCCGTGTCAATTTCATTATTGTCTACTGTTGTCCATTTGACATCATCTTCACTCTCCACCGGCTCGTCCGAAATACACTGGATTTTGAAGTTTTGTCCCTCAATAATATCGAAGAATCCTCCGCCACCCGGCTCGTTGTCCAGATGAATTGTCCCTGACTTGACTGTGTCTATGAGTATAGAGAGAAGAACTGTTAGCACCAGTGGTTTAGGCATCTGAAATTTAATTTAAAGTGTTTGGTAGAAGATTAGCGCTGAATGTAAAATACGGTGTAGAAAAACGGATGACATAAAAGGCCAGAAAATTTACTTTTTAATCGCGGTTTATGAACATGGACACAAAATTTCCAGAAAATTTTTTTTGACCTTGTGCCAATAACAACAGCTTTATTTTGGCTTAAAATTGACAGATTTGGCCTTCGAAATTGTTTGTTATGGACTGGTATGTTACTACTGGTGCTTGCTTTACAAAGCTCACAAGGGAAAACAAATCGTTTTACAGAATGTCCAGAGAAATTCGTCGGAAAGTTTTTGGCGATTTCTTGGCGCTCAGTCGAGATATTCAAAAAAAATTTTTGCAGTGTCAAAGAAGAAGTTGGGCAGTTTTTTGTCCCGGAAAATGTCTTTTGTCCGGCAACACGAAGGTGGTGTATTTGGTGGAGACTTTTGATCGTTTTTTTGGTAACCACACCAATCTTTAACGCTTTTTTTATGAAGCTGGAACTTCCGGAAAGCCTTCAAATTTTTTTTACAGTAGATCAGAACGCCAGTAGCAGCGCTATGCGATCGCAAGCTCCCATATAAAAAAACCTGTCTATTATAACCAAAAATTTTGGAGCTCTCAAGAGTCAATTTCGGCCGAAATAAACCTCCATACAACGAAGCCTTCCTATAAAATATAAATCTAAAGATTCAAAATTTCCCTAGACCTCTGAAATTTACGTACCTTTCCCCTCCCCCCACTCCCGGATGTTGTTATGGTCACTAAATGCGATTCCTTTTCAACAAATCCGGTTAAAATGGCATCCGGTCAAAGACACTTGCTTATTTATTCATTAGCATGAGGGTTACGCATTGTATCCTTTGCAACGGCCAACGAATTTACAATAGGGAAAAGGTGTATGGGAAACAAAAGAGGAGGGAAAGGGACAATAACAACATATGCTTTAGGAACAAATCTAATATAATTAGCATAGATTGTTTGCCTAGAGGAAAAAGGGTATATAGCTATCGGAGCAAGGATAATTTTGTAAAATACGAATTAAAATGTTTTCCTTTCTTCTAGTGGAAATACAGGGAAACATTTGTACTGCAACGTATAGCAGGATCCAAATATTGTAGTAAGATACAAAAAATTGCTTGTTATAGAAATGTTTTTTGCAGTAGAAAGGTTCATTTATACAAAAGAATTACCCCATGTGTAACGCCCAGATTTTCTTTTGCACACACGCCGGGAATAGACAACATATCAAATTCCTCAAAGTTTTGGCCCGGGTTTTCCATGTACAACCGAAATATTCAACAATCTTTGCGACCGAGAGAGTACACGAAACGGGGAGGGCGATCAGAGTCAGAGAAAATATTTAGTTTTTGGCCATATCTTTACCAGTTTATTGCGGTAAAACTTGAGTTTTTATGGAAACATTGCTCTCTATGGTAGAAATAGGTATGGAAATTTTCGTGCCAAGTCGTGTATGCAAAGCCATATGGCATGGAAAAAAGTTATTTCAATTTGTGCCATGTCTCACCTTGATCTATAAATGTCGCTCCTGGCCTATCTTTCCTGTTAGCTTGAATATTGTACCCCTGAGGCCTCTGAAAATCTTTCTACCTCCCAGTTTACTGGTATGAGACTCCCATGAACACAGGTTCCACTGTAATTACAAAATACGGGTGATTCGTTTTAAAATACGAGGAGTGGATTCATTTTCATATAATACATCAAAGAGCAGTAAAAAAGTTTTAGAGAAGACTGTTGCGAGCCGCAGTTGACCCCACTGCATTTCACGGGTTTTCAAACGCAAATCGAGCGCAGTTGCGCAAACCGTGAAAAGCGCGGTAAATCCGTTACGTTTGACAGGATTATTTCTCGTATTTCGTTGGGAACCCGCTGCACGAAGGGATAATTAAACGAAGAATTTATTTCAATACCTAAAACAAGTTCAAAATCTAATGAAAAAGGCGTTATGCCTTTTTGTAATGATTTGCAAATGCCAAAATAATTCTGGTACAAAGGCAACCTATGCGCGACTGCAAAAAAAAGGTTTCAAAAATAAAGGTTCCGACAAAAATTCTTTGTCTTTCGCTGGGAATGCGGCTTTTTAAAATACGTTATCAACAGCTGAGGACAGAGTTTTATGAGTCATTTATAATTACAAATTAGGTAAGTTAAAGAATCCATCATGTTGCGCTCAATTACAATGTCCCTGGAGGGCTCTGTATGTATAAGATGCAAAAAACTTTTTGCTCAACGGCTTGCCTCACAATTGTCAGTAAGAATTTCTATGCCCTTGATGTTTGATATATAGTAAGTCTGTCGGGAAAATAATGAGCGCAATGTCGCTTCGCTGATCGCGTCACTGAAGTGAAAAGAAATTTGATTTTGCAGTGACACAAGTCATTTTCTCGTTGGCGATGCGATTTTCAATGCGACATAGGGCTCATTATTTTCCCGACAGACTGTAATAAACATTACAAGGTCAGACTTCTTTACTGGGAACTGACGCAACAAAACTGTCTGTGATGACAAATTTCTAATCGTAAGGCCTCAAAAGTCAGCTCAGCGTTTAGCCGAAATGATTGTTCGGTCCTTTGCGGTTCGTTGTACTGAAGCTTCACTGCACATATTTAGGCCAAAATAGACCTCCATACAACAAATCCCTTCTAATATGTATGACACATAACTACTTTCTTCACATATTTGACTGTACAGTGGAAATCTATCACAACAAAAAACATAGACTGCTTATAATAAATTTTCAAAACAATAGCCGCAATTTGTTGCATAAAACGGGAAATTTTGGATGCCGCCAAAAGTGGCATTAGCAAAAGAGTGAACAGTGTCAGCGTTAATCGCCTTGAAGCGCGAATTAAACAGAGAATGGACAAATCGGAGGCGACTGTCTAGGACAATAAATTCTGTTCCCATTGTGAGGAAGTCGGCGCTAAAAACCCGCTAATTTGGAGAATGACTCACAAGGGATCGGCAAATAGTTGTAACCTGCTTTCTTAACGAAACCTATATCATTTGAAAGAGCATTAAAAATAGTTCACCGCGCAAAAAGAATTAGCTGCCTAAATTCACTTTGGACAAAGTTATGGCCAAAATACAGATTTTAGCCTAATTTCCGCTTCGCTTTATAAGCTCTCGGAATGGCAACAGAGTTGTGTCCAGTTGGCCGAGTGGTAGTGAGCCCACTTCCGGCGCAGCGACTCCTGGTTTCGAATCCGGTCTCTGTAAATATTTTGCGTTTCGTCTCTTATATGCCACAAAACCATGGTATGTTGACATTTTTTAATAATTTTTGTTCCTCCGCAGACAAAATCCATGGTTACGCAATTTTTCTGAGTTTTTGAATTTTTTTGAAACGACCACAAATTTGATGGTGATGAGAGTGGGTATGTCACTATCGTATAATTCCAAGGGTGTTATGCCAGTAGCCTGACCGATTATGATTGCTGGAGGATAATTCAATTTACAAGGGCCTATAAATATACTTTTTTTGAAAAAATACGAAGATAAAATTGTAAAATCGGCCAAAGACACTATTGCTGACACAGTGGACCAACCATTGATAAGGCTAGGACATAAGAAATTTTCGATTTTGAAATTTTCGTTTGTGAATGACCACGACGATCATATAAATCTATTTCCAAAGCTTTTTGCTCCGATTTTCCCTTTAACCTAGTTTTATTTACAATTTACTGTAACCAGCAGTAATGTCTAATAACATACAACCGAGGATTGGTAAAGCCATAAAACGACCGTGATAGACGTTTTTGGATACCAGAAAATTAATAAAGACAATTTCAAACCGCCAGGATTACTGTAATATAAGGAACCGGCGTTTTGGCCGCATATAACCCCTTTCAAAAAGCGGTCGTATCTATGCCCTAAGGTAATTTAGGCAGCTAATTTTTTTTGCGCTGTGCACTATTTTTAATGCTCTTTCAAATGATACATGTTTCGTTAAGAAAGCAGGGTGCAACTATTTGCCGATCCCTTGTCAGGGGTTTCCGGGTGGGAATTTGAAAAAATGACGCGGTTTGGTTATAAAGCATAAAAATTAAATGAGTAAAAAATTGAATGGACAAAAAATTATGATTTTTTTTAAATTTAAATTTTAAAAATTTTTGAAGTTTTGAAAGAATAACCTTATTTTCGGAAAGTCAAACCAAAACACGGCGCTCTAAAACATTTCCCGGCCAGCTATTTGTCCCCGCTAATCAGATATATTTCCTTTGATTTCCCTCGAGAGCACCCGTTTCGAGGCAATTTTGATGCCGCCAAATCTCAAAAGGTCGCGCTTAATCCGCGCAACAGTGTTTATTCGCGGTCGAAAACCGTATTTGGCAAATCAAAAGGGTCAATAAAAAAATTTTATACATTTTTTTATTTTCAAAAAATTAAAAATTTTGAAAAAAAGTAGAAGTTCGAAAAAAAATCTCTGTAGAACAAAACCTCTCTATAACGCACAATTTTGACGGTCGCAAAAATCAATTTTAGAACAAAACAAACCTCCCTTTAACAAAACCTCTCTATAACAAACAAATTTTTTTGATCCAATTTATTGTAAACATCAGTCTGTCGGGAAAATAATGTGCACAATGTCGCTGCGCCAATCGCGTCGCTGAAGCATAATAAAAAGCAATTTGATTTTTCCGCGACAAAATTCTTTTTCTCGCCGACGATGCGATTTTCGATGCACCAGAGCGCCCATTGTTTTCCCGACAGACTGATAATTTACTGTAAACCACTGAAATTCCGCGTATTTTACCCTCAAAAAGTCGGCGAACTCCCGAACACTTATGGGTTTCCAAGAGCGCAAAAAGGTTTCCCCTTCCGACTCTTTATTTGGCAAGCTTCAAGTGACCCTTTACCCTCCTATTCAAGTCGGAGTTTCAAATGCCAAAAGCGTGCGGAGAAGAATGGGGGAGGCGGGTTGAAATGGAGAATTAGTTTGACTCCTGAAAAGGCTGAAATTTTTAAAAAATGCAAAAACTCGAAGAAATTTCAAATTTTTGTTTTTAAGGCAATTGTTCAACGTGCAACGCTCAGATTTCCTTCAAATTTTGCACACAAGTTGGACCTAGACTACGTATGAACTCGTCAAAATCTTAGCTTACATTTCACAGGCGGAACCGAGATATTCAATGACATTTGGAAACCAGAGGGTGCGCAAAATGCGGAGAGTGGCCATGGAAAAAACTTGTGTCAGATTTTGATGAAACTTGGCAGAAATTTAGGACACTGTTTTCTAAGACATATGTATATGAAATGCCTAGCTCGTGCTTTCCAGAATCGACCGAGATTTTTAGGTCGGAAATTGCCAAAAATTTGACTTTTTTTGCGGATTTAGGCATGAAAATTCACGTACTTGTTTTCGCTTGAGAGTATAATATTTTTACAAAAAAAAATCCATTTTTTCCACGCAAAACTGGCAAAAATATGGCCAAAAAGGTCTTTTTCTGTGACCGCTCTCTGCATTTTACATGCTCTCTAGGTCAAAAGGTTGTTGAATAGCTCTAAAACATCGTGAAATTGATGGCCTAGACGCGATGTGTTAGCCAAATTTCAAAAAAAAAATCTGAGCTTCACACTTTGAACACTCCCAGTGTGAATTTGAAAAGCACGTATTTCCAAGTACGTGCATTTTCATTTCCAACAAACAATGAATTTGCCGAATGCCCAAAATTTTTAAAACAGCAGGTAGCGGTCATTCCAGCGAATGTTTCCAAATCCGGAAGTCAATTTTCAACAGCCCAGCGTGAAGTGTGCTAAAAGCGGAAGTAGTCGCATCAAGCGGCAAAATGGTTTATATCTGGCACAAAAAAAAAGTTTTAAAATACGACGAAAAAACATGGAAGTAATGACATGTGATAGAAGAGTCAATATAAACACCATTGCTGCCAAATTCCTTTGTGAGCATTTTAAAAATACAAAAATTCCAAAACTTTATACCAAGAAACCCATAAAAAGCCTGTTCACGAACAGAAATGCCAATAATCTGGACCTTTCTCATGGGAACCCCAATCTCCTTTTTTTCCGAGAATGGCCAAGCTTTCGGAGTCAGCAAGGGTGCCGAAAAGCTGTAAATGACCTTATGGGAAATCCGCGGAGTCCACAGATTCTTATCAGATATGGTTTTTTGACGGTTTTAGCTTCAAAAGGGAGACTTTGGAAAGGAGAAATGGGAATAAAGAAAGGGATGTTTGTGACGTTGAGGCAATCTTTGATGATGAAGATTGACAATAATGACGGCTATGGCTACATACATATATATATGTGTATATACAAAGCTAAATTTACGGTAAACTACAGTATAAAAAATTTCTCTGTTTTCTCTAACGCACAAGTTTAGCGTTTTCCAGGGGCAGCCAAGATAGTCAATAATCTTCGGGGTTTAGAGAGCACGCAAAACGCGGAGAGCGGGCAGATAGTCTGACAGGGGGAGTACTCCAAGTGCGACGCTCAGATTTCCTTTAAATTTTGTACACACGTCGGGTATGGACTAAATATCAATTCCTGAAAGTTTTAGCTCGCGCTTTGCGGGCGCCGCCGAGATATCGAACGATTTTTGCCGCCGAGAGAGCACGCTAAACGTGGAGAGCAGTCAGAGAGAAAAGCGCTTTTTGGCCATAACTTTGGCAGTTTCGTGCGAAAAAATTTGGTTTTTTGTAGAAACATTATCCTTTACGGTAGAAATAGGCACGAAACTTTTCGTGCCAAAATACGGCAAAAAGTCCTAAATTTTTGCTGATTTTCGATCTAAAAATCTCGGTTATTTCTGCAAAGCGCGAGCTAGAATTCTCGCATATATCTTAGCAAAAATTATTCTAAATTTGTGCCAAGTTTCATCAAAATCTGAACGTCGCACTTGGAGTACTTCCCCTGTGAGTGAAAGAACTTTTTTTGGTCATGTTCCTGGCAATTTCATGCGAAAAAATTGTTCTGTTTTTGTGGAAACATTATCCTCTACAGTAGAAATAGGTATGAAAGTTTTAATGTCAAAATAAAAAATCTCGGTCGTTTCTGCAAAGCGCGAGCTAGGAGCCACGCATAAAATCCAAAAAGCGTTCTCTGAATAGCCGACTAATGGCTGAAAGCGCTCTTAAATTCCAAAGATATCATCTAAACAGCCCGCTTTTTAGTCATATGCCCAGTAATCACGTTGCTATTTAGCATAATCTAAAAACATCGAAAAAACAAGGCTTTCCGGATGATTACCCTTCTTGCGATTCCCACAAAGAAAACAGTTTAAATTTCCTTGTGATGTGGCCACAACAGATTTGGAAACAAAATTTCGGAAAAACAAACAATAAAATCGAATAAAAACATGATAGTTGAGATGGCAATTAAAATGATGATGGAAGCGTTATGAGATATGTGACAAAACTTGCAAGTTAAGACGGTGATTGCGGGGTGCTCGAAAGGGCCGAAATTTTGATGAAACTTGATGCAAATTTAGAGTGAATTTGACTTGTTATCTTCAAAATTCTTTGCTCGCGCTATACAGTGATAACGGAAATTTTGAGTCAAAACGTTGGGGAAATTTTGATGCCCTTTTGCAAGTTTTAGCACAAAAAGTTTCAAAGAATCTTTTTCGAGACTCCTAACTTGCGCTTTGCAGAAACGACCAATGTTTGGCATGAAAAAAACTGCACGTTTTTACCTAGTTCTACAAGGTTTCTACAAAGAAAGATTTGTTCCACACCACACCGGAATAAATAGAAAATATTTTCTTCTCTGCTCGCTCTCCACATTTTGCGTACTCTTTCGTCGGAAAAGATGGGTTATTATCCCCGCTCTCCCTTTCAAAGTACAAGCTAAAATTTGCAGAGCTTAATACATGGACAGTGTCCAATTCGTATGCAGAATTTACAAAAAAATCTTATCACAGCACTTTGAAGACTCTACAATTATTAGTAAATTTAAAAAAAAACAAGGCAAACTACTATGACGTATTTTACCATCGTTTCACCAAAACATCTCAAAACAATCTTCCTCTCCTAAAAACAATTCGCTGACTATTGCAACGCAGTATGAGTACATTACCATAAACATAGCCCAACCCAAAAAGACCACGCTTTCCTTGAGGGTCGCGAAGCGCCGGAAGAAACTGAATGGAAGCCGGATTTGGAGCGAAGTTGAGCCAGCGTTTTTTTCGAATAAATGAAAGAAAAGACGAAGCACGATGGGCTCTGAAAAGCATTAGCCAGCTCGGTTTAATGTTGTCGGGTTTCTTTTTGGGTTCCAAAATCTGGCTCAATGTCAGAGGTTGGGGAGAAGGGGTGGGAAAGATTTGAAAACTTGATTTTTTGGTTTGCAAATCCTAATTTGGTCGTAAAATTTTAAATTTTGCACACATACCGAGGAATTGATACATACATCATGAATCAATTCCTGAAAAGTTTAGCTTGAGCTTTGCAGCAGCTGCAAAGAGATTCGAAGATCTTTGCGGCCGAAAGAGCACGCGAAACGCGGAGAACGCTCAGAGACAAACACTTTTTGGCCGTATTTTAGGCAATTTTGGGATGGAAAAAATTGTTTTTCTTGTGGAATTACCCTCTACGGTAAAAATAAGCATAAAACTTTTCATGCAAAAAACCCGAAAAAAAAATATTTTTTTTTTTTTCAATTTTGACCACAAAAGCCTCGGTCGTTTTTGCAAGACCCTAGCTATGAGTATCGCATATGTCTACGAAAAAATTATTCTAAACTTGTGGCAAGTTTCATCAAAATCCTAGCGTCGCATTTAGGGTGATTCCCCTGTTAAATAAGCCTTCGTACAACGAAAACCTTGGAAAAAGTTCCTTATTTTGGCCACAACAAAGGTACTCAGCGAACTGCGCCCAAGCTTGGGAAATAAAGTTAGGAAAAAAAGTCTTCGGCTTAACTGGGACTGAATTACTATAATAGCTACATAATTTCAAGGGTATCTACGAAGGTGATGACGGCTCATTTAGTTCTACACGGAGGCAATAAGTTTAGTTATGCACATGTTTCATCGTATAAAGTGTAAAATCGCAGGCTGCAGCCTTTTTGAAGAGCAAGGTGGTACGTAAAAAAGAAGATACCTCACTAACTAAATCCACTGTCCGGACATTGACAACGATGAATTAAGCCTGCACGCTAAATTTGGGCTAATTCGTTCAGTTTCCGCAAAGTTATAAGTTGTGGCCAGAATAAGGAACTTTTACCAAACCCTTTTATAACGAATAAATTCCTTATTTCTTTACAATTTCTTTACGGAGTAATTACAGACCCTACCACAACAGTGACTTTGCAAACGGACTAGTATCATTAACACTTCCTAATACATATAAAAAAAGTTCTTTCAGAAGCCGAAACCAAAGTCTAAATCCAATTTGGCGTCAAAATGCCAAGCCCGGAGCTGGACGGCTGCACCACGGACTACGTTTCGCCATTAGTGGGGTCAGGCCAGTTTCGGATTTAATTCGATTGTGTCGCGGAACTTTTCGCATCACCAGAATATAAAAAAACATTCTTTAGAACTATGATATAGCTTTTCTACACTCAAAAATCGCATATATTTCTATTTTTTCACCACTTTACTGCCAAATTTTTATCTAAAAATGATTTTAAAATGCCACGAAGGCGGTGACTTTTTCTTCAGCTTCCTGGTGCTGGCCGAGTTCTGTATTGGAGCAGTGTCGATCATTTTGAACTGCGCGTTGGCTGTGTGTTCCTATCATGCCGTCCCGTTCTCATTTTCGCAACGACAAAGCTTGGTAAGCCGAAAATTTTTATTGGCAAAAATAACCGTGGATTCACCACAATATCTCTTCTTTGTAGGGCGCAATAAGTTTGAATTATGTGCTGGTCTCCGGTGTCATCCTTGCAAGATCGATTTTCGTCGGATTCATTGCGTATTCCACCTGCAATACGACGGTTACTACAGCCAACTGCAAGATCCAGGAGTTCCCGCTGGTCTTTGTCTACTTCCAAGCTGCGTTCATGCCAGCGTTGCTGGCCGTGCAGTTCTTTTATAAACAAAAGTAGGTTAGAAACGTCTCTGGAAGTAAATTGGCTTGTTGGCCTTATTTTTTTGGTAGACCCATGTTCAACGTATTTTAAAAGCCTTGTCTACAACGCAATAAGCTGGACTGTCAGTGTCATAAAAGTAGTTTCAATCGAAAATTTTATATTGCGGGAGAGCGAGATATTGTGTCCTTTATGATTTGAGCAACAACCGTATATCAATTGTCGAAAAAAATAGTGTCCAGCAGGAAAAAACATTATTTGGATTTGTCTACTCCACCGCGGGTGAACGAAATTGAGTTTTTTTTTGGCAAAAACTGTTATAAGAAGATATATTATCAAGTCTGTCGGAAAAATAATGTGGATTTGTCTCGCCTTGTAATCGCTCATCATTGGCCCAGGCTAGCCTCGGTTGGGAATTTGGTGCGCGATTGCGACGAGGCAGAACATCTTTTTGCGACAAATCTACACTATATCCCGACAGATTGATAACACTGAAACGTTTCATCGAAAAAGTCGCAAAAAATTTTTGATTTCTTTGAACCACCTTTATCGACTTTTTCGAGTTGACGAAAGTTCTCAAAAGAGCGGTTTTTTGAACACAGCGGGAGCTGACACATGTCTTGAAAAATCTAAAAAAATACAAGTATTCATAGGGTTTGTGGTTATACTTTTGTTTTGCCCCGATTGACTTGATTTTTGGCATGGTGGTTCTTTTAGATCTTCTATTTAAGTATTTGAAAAAAAATTTCGAAATTTTCAATTTTGAGTGACCTATGACGTCATGAAAAGTCGAAACTTTGAGCTGCCATATCTCGCTTCGTTTTATAGGTATGGACTTGATTTTTGGCTTCGTCGCGTATGGTACATAATGGGACAATCACTGTCGAAATTTTTTCGAAATTTCAAAATTTACGAAAAAAATCCCAAAAAAAGACCTTTTTTCGTATCTTTTAATTAGACCGGGGAATATTGAAACGCAAGCTTCTACAGGTCCATATCGGGAAAGCAAATTCATAACTAAGAGATAACTCCATGTATGTGTAGATACGGCCATGTACAAAGTTACACTTCCAGAAAACCCCGTCATGATGACGCATTTTCTGGATTTTTTCGATTCCATTGAATTCTACGTACCAAACTTCCTATTAGGTCGTGTCTTTCTTTTTTGTACTTTACTTCGTATTTTAGCTATGGCTTACTGTAAAAAACACGATTTGCACAGTGCAAAATTCAAAAAAATCGTTCTCGGCTCCCAGGTCGAAATTCAAAAAAACGGCTCGCGGATCTTATTTTTTTTGCTCGAAGATTGTCCCAAAATTTTTTCAGAACATTCTACGTAGCCATCGTTTCAGAAAATGTGCATACTTGAAAACGCAATTTTTCGAAATTTTCAAAATTTTGACTTTTTCAAAATTTTCTCACTGATGTACAACAACGATTTCAAAAATGTTCAACTACAGATTGTAGAGCTCGAAGAGCTCTACAAATTACCCGCTTACATCGTCTTCGTATATTGGAAATTACGGCCGCCAGAGCGGCCGGAAATTTCGGTCGATTTTTGGTGCACTGTGCGAAAAAAATTGCCCTCAGGGCAATTAGCGGAGTTGAACAAATTGATCATATGGGTGCTATAGGACACAAAATGAACTACCATCGTGCCAAGTTTCAGCTTTCTACCTGCAATATTCCGTGCGCACCGTGCAGTCAAAAAAAAATTTCGAAATTTCGGCCAAAATTCGGCCCTGAGGGCTTGGAATCGAATTTTTTCGGATTTTAATTTCGTCCATCGTATTCAGCACACGGAACTGCTACAGAAACAGGTATCGATTCCTAAAATACGCACAGGTTGAAAAAGCAGTATTCGAATTTCCGAATTTTTGGATTTTACTTATTTTGACGAAAGTTACTATAGCTCGGGAACAAGGTCGAAATTGAAAAATCGGCTCCACGCGTGCAGTAGATAATTTTGTTGCCTTGGTATAACCATTGAAATCTGAACCGTGTGATAAGCCCGTAAGGCCAAATCGTGCAGCGACTTTTTTGACCAAAAAATTCAAAATTTTTAAAACCGTCAAAACTCAAAAATTTCCAACTAAAGTTCGTCTAAAAGTTACATATTCAGAATCTCCATGTCATTTCAGACATAGTCGTATCTTTTTCCTCGGTACTTTTAGTGCAACAAGTGCCAGTTTTGAAAAAACGCCCACTTTCACGACCGAAAACACAGGAAAAGAGCGCGGCGAAGAGAGAGAGCGGGTAGAGAACCGCTTCCCTCTTCGTTTGGCGGGAGAAAAGAGAGAGTGGGAAAGGTGTGGAGGGTGGTTAGACAAAGGTTTTCTCTTTCGATTCCGGTTAGAGATCAGGCGAAGAGAGTGCTGAGTGTGAGGAGGGTGGTACGGAAACTGTCATCGTGACGCGTCATGACGGGGTTTTCTGGATTTTTTCGAGAAATTTTTGTAAAATTATTTTTTTGGTCCTGGATTCTCGGGATTTGGCCGTTTTAGGGCCAAATTTGACGGGGATTTCGGGAAAAATATTATCTAAGGATACTTTTGAGTGCTGAGTCCTTTTTTTAGTTGATTTTTGCTTATTTTATGTGATTTTGATCAGCTTTTGGTGGAAGAAAAAATATTTTAGGTAACAAAATGTAGTCTCGTGGCGGCCGTAGGCCGTCGCCTCATGCCGGCGGGCTCTTTAGTCGAGCTTAGCGATGTGGAACTGAACTGAGCTTAGCAATTAGGGTAAGCTTAGCAATCTTAACTTCTCGATCTAAAACAAAGTCGGCATAGCGTTTTGAGCGCTGCAGCTTTCCACTAGGCTCAGTCTAACGCGTAGCGTTTTTCTGCCGCGGCCGGAGGCCGTCGGCAAAGCTTTGGCGAGCGTTTCTTCCACATAGCGGATTTACGTTGGTTTTCGACGTTGAACAGGTCCAAATCGCGCGCAAAGTTGCCTTTATCCGCAGAGCTGCCCGAGAGACGGTAGCAGCCGCAGGCTGCGTTAGTCTCGAGCCCTATCTAGTTAAAGTGTAATGTATGCTTATATCTAAAGTTTTATCAAAAAATAGACGTCGCACATTGAGCACTTCCTTGGTTAACAAAACCAATTTAGTCATCGAGTCCGCCAGATCAACTACCTCAACGCTTGCTCAATCACCCAGCTCCTCATCTCGGTGTTTTGCCTCGCTCTCGCATTGTGGTTCACTGCGTTTGATCATGAGCATCGCGGGAAGTACATCAAACACGTATGTCAACTACAACCTTGGAAAGGAAAGTTGCTTTTAGTGTCTAATCGTCCGTGCGATTCACGAAAAACGGATGGTCTTTGCGATGTTCACCGCCCTCCTTGGCATTCAACTGTTTTCTCTGTTCATGTGGTTGCTAATCCAGCGTCAAGTCAGTAATCAGCAGCAAGACCGAAGGGTCCGAAGTCTGTCCGAGGAAATGGTCGGGGAAAACGTGGGCTGGTGCCTGGTCCTCTTTCTCAGCGGATTCATTGGGGTTTATGAATATGTCTATGACGAGACTAGTGAGTCGGTAAGTAACAGGAGTTTTTTTGACAAAAAACAATCGAATTTTGGTCTTTATATAGGGCTCGTGCTTTATAAGTTTCGTCGGCTTTGCAAAAAAATGTTGCAAAAAGGCGTTCAGAATTCGCTTTGAACGCCTTTTTGCAACATCAGTTCAAATCGTGAAAAATCGTGAACTGATTATTGCAAAATCAGTTCACGGGGTGAACTGATGTTGCGAAAAGGCGTTCACGATTTGAACTGATGTTGCAAAATGGCGTTCAGAGCGAATTCTGAACGCCTTTTTGCAACATTTTTTTGCAAAGCCGACGAAACTTATAAAGCACGAGCCCTATATATAGTAAGCCTTGACATGACTTCTAGGGCCGGCTCGGATTTTCGGCGGGGTTAAAATCCGTTACGATATTAGCTACAGTCCTAGGTAGACGTGGGAGTTCTAAGCAGCTTCCTAGCCTTGGCCGAAGAAAATTTGAGACGGGCTGGGCCGAATACATTTGGCCCGCCAATCGACCAGGAAAACTGCATTTCTTAACGAAGCGAAATTGCAGTACTAAAAGTAAAAAAATGTAGGGGAAATTTTTTGTACATGTACCAAATAATGGCCAAAGTAAAAGGTGACTTGAACAACTTTTAGCTCAGCGCAGCTTGGAAGTCATGCCTAGTGGAACTTGTACAGCAAACTCTCGTACAACAAAACCTGTCCATTACAAACAATTTCAATGGCCTCAGCGATAAATATTAGGCACAAAAAGCCTCCGCAGAACAAAATTCTTTTATGCGATAGTATTATACAAATATTTTTTGTCATTTCTTAAGATTCGCTGGAGAGGTTTGACTATCCTTTTATCTAATTTTATCTGCCGTAAAATGATCATATGACTGATGTAAAATTCCTAACACCAAATTTGACCTTTTCGATGATAAAAAAGATACCAATTACTCGTTGACCAGCTTCCGTTTCCAGCTTATCAGTGCGGCCCTGGAGACGTCGTTCGTCCTGGCGCCATTAATGCTCAGCCTCTTCCGAGCCATTTCCATTTCCTGGAACGTGGAGCCAATCCGTTTATCCATCCTGGACATCTTCCCCGGCGCGGCCTACTTCCTGCAAATCGACTACGACAAGGTCTATCGCTACGATCGAGAGGTTTCCGGGCTGGAGAAGGCCGAGTCGGAAGAGTGATGACCGATAAGAGCCGTGTTTTTAATACTTTTTATTTACAATATTTTGGGATGATAAGTGTTTGCGATGGCTTTGGAAATTCGGTTAATTAAATTTGGAATAAATTTTGAAATTTTGGTTTTGAACTTTTCTTTGGCCAATATGAAGATCAAATTGAGATTTTGGAGAGAGAAAGCTTGGCCAAATCTAAAGGTTCAATTTTCTTATACAGTACTGAACTTTTAGCCATCCATTGTTCTATGGTTTGGCCATCCTTCCTTCCTACTTTTTTGTTATGCTATTCACGAGGGAAGTATCCCAAGTGCGACGCTCAGATTTTCTTTATTTTGCACACACGTCAACAGAAAGATTGAATTAAGATTTTTGGGATTGTTTTAGCCAAATTAGACACGGCACGGAGGCCTAGGCGGGTAGAAAAACACGAAACGACCCGCCAGTTAGCCGTTAGGTCCTCAATGTAATCCTGAGACTCCTGTTTACACTCAGTAATGAAAACGCTTCGATTTGACACGTTTTGTAATGGGTTTCATTCACCTTAATCTTGAGTTCGCCGTTACTGTAAATGCCCCCGAGGACGATCACATCCCCGCAGGCGATTTGGCGTTCGATACGTCTCAGACGTGTACGCCGGGTGCCGTAGCTTCTTAAATTACGTGGGCCATCTAATGCAAGCCATTTTTCGTCGGTAAAAATCGATTTGAAAAACTTGGTTTTCTGGTTAAGGTGCAGATCGGCAAAGTTGCGCCTGCAAACCATATGAGATCGTGTCAGTGGGAGTTTATTCTTTGTTTGAAAGTAAGTAGGAGTCTCAGGATTACATTGAGAACCTAACGACCATATCTAGCCCCTCGGTCAGAGAGCTAATGAGTCGCCAAAGCTGGGCATGACAAGAGGGTATCTGCCGGATCTACACCGCCAGGTCACTATGCACTTTCATCGAAAGGAGAAGGTAAGTACAGGTCTAAATCACGTAATAAAAATCCAATTTAGAGCTATTGGAAAGCTCTAGGGCTAGATTTTTACCATTTTGGGCAGCTCTACATCCAAAACGGTTTAACGCGTTGAATCCTCTAATGCAACGAAGGATTCAACGGAAACCCATTTATTAACCTGTATTCAGGTATGAGACGTCGATTACAATAGGTTTGGGCGATATCCGCTGGCGATATCTAATTTTATTTAAGGGGGGTCAAAACTTTTTCCTCGATTTTTTAGGGTGATTTTTGAAAATTGCTCCTGGATTTTGCAATTCAACTATAAGGTATGTCCTGCTATGTTATTTTTTGTTACTAGCCTGTGAGTAGACTACATACCAAATTTGGTCCGAATTAGTACACTTTGGGCCGAGTTAGGAGGGGGGTCAAAACATTGTACGCGGAGTATACATAGTTACCTTGCAAAAAGTCCAAAAAAACCAAAAAACTTATAATTCAACCCAGCTTTGTTTTCACTATCTTCTGGCAATAAAAAATTTTCCCTCCGTCTCTTCAATTTTAATCCTACAATTTATCTCTTTGCTAGTAAGCTCAATTTGCGGCGCCAGCTGGACTTGGCCCATCTCAACTTTGCTTCGGCACCATTCGGCCTTGGAACTCATTTTTAGGCCAAAAGTGGAGATCCAAGCTATCTCTACAGTGCCGAATTTTAAGTCATCCATTCGTTTGACCTTGCTTTAAACTTTTCGTCTTGTTATTCAGTGTCTTACAAGTTCAAGTCTAACGAAAGGCAATCTTATCAACGTTTTTGATCTACGAGGCACCGGTCAGAGGTTGGGCGGCAAAAGATGTTCGAAATGTTTCTAAAAGGGCCCCAAATTTAAGCAGACAATATTCTTATGGCTGCGTGTTACTGTATTCTATTTACATATTTGAAGTAGAAGAAGCTGTGTACTGTACGAATGTTTGAAGTAGAAGAAGCTGTGTACTGTACAGCGTGTGGAGTATAGCTTTTTTGCAGAAAAATTATAGTCAAACTAATTACGACAAACTAATGTACAACTGTTTATTACAATGGATTTGTTCCCATGAGAGGCCCCTAGGTTGAAACAACCCAAACTCTTCTATTGAGTAGGATTTTTTAGTGGTTTTTGGAGATTCGTTGTATGCATACAGTAGAGGTGGTAATCGAGCCGGGCTTGAGAAAATTAAAAAAAACCGGCCTAGTCGTTTCGGCCAAAAAAAATTAAAACAAAAAGAGCAAAACAAGGCGTAAAGGTTTTACAAAATTAGGTGCTGAGTATTAGGTAAAAGAGTAGGGTTTTCCTTTCTGACTTGTACATTAATTTTGGCAATTTTTAAAACTCTTTCAAGTGCCTTCATGGCCTTGATCAATCATGATCCCACCGTGATATATTATGATATATTATATGTATAATATAACAGAGGTTGAAAAAAAAGACTTTGCATTTTTTTGGCTGGTAAACTTAATGAATTCCCTGTTATTCGGTGCAGCAATGTAAATAAAAACTGTTTATGGAATTTGTCAAAAACTGTTTATGCAAAACAGTAAAGAATGGTCTTAAAAACGTAGCCCACTAACATTCATGGATAAGATAAAAAAAACTTATAACACCTGGCCTATCCAAATTTTTTGGTCAGCCTTTAGGCAGATCGGGCCGACCGGATTGCCACTTCTATTGTACACAAATTCTGACTGTTTTTCTTTCAAGAGAAAACTCCAAATGAATTTTCTATGGGTAGCACCTTTTGAGTCATGGGGGACAAAAAGTGTAGTAGAAGTTTCAAATGTTGATGTGACATTTTCCAAGTAAATTAATCATTATTTGCCATTCACAAATTTTGTATTAATGGGGTGAGACAAATATGTAAAAAAATATTTGACATTTTGCACCACAAGTCTCCGGCGCGTTTGCATTTTTAAAAAACACTGTAAAGGCGTTTGAAAAAAACAATTTTTTGGACCCTGCCTTTTCTATAAGACTGTCGGGAAAATAACGAGCGCGTCGCTGAACTGAAAATCAATTCCATTTTCCCGCGACACAGTTCATTTTCTTGACGGCGATGCAATTTTCGTTGCCACAGAGGGCTCATTATTTTCCCGACAGACTGATAAAAGACCACTTTCATCACTTTCCGGTTACCATTTCTTTTCGGACCTGTTTACGTATGTTTATTACACTTATTCCTTCGATTTTATGGCCGAACACACACATCGAGCCCCATAGTTCCGCTAAGTAGCCAGTGCCTCCCGAATTTCATAACTTTTGATCGGCTGACTTGCGAACAGCCCTCAACGGTTTGATAAGAAATTTGTTGAGGTCGAAATTTGAGAAAAACAAATCATTCGGCGTGTCAATCAGTGCCCGTTATAAGGCGAGTTATCAGTCGGGAAAGCGAGATCTCCTTCCCATGTCCTTCGCTTTTTCAGTATTCATTTGATTTTGAAAAAATGTCATGCTTTTACAAGGTTATTTCCTGAGGGAAATCGAGCCTGTGATTGGCGTTTTTGATCGTTGATTTATGAGATTTCTCGGTGTAAAAATCAACCTGTTTCAGTATGTTGAGAGGTACCCTGGTACTGCTCTGTGCTCTTCTTGCACTCGCCGAGGTAAGCGCGCATTACCGTCGTCATCATCATCATCATGAAGAGAATACTGAGGAAAATGGAATGAAATACAGGTATGGTGATAAGGCATGACAGACAGTGCTTCTTGAATGTCTGAAAATATCGTGTTGCACTTGATTAGAGACTAAAATTTTTCGAAAAATTTTGGTAAATTTAGAGATCAGCCAAAATTAAGAGGTGTCTGAAAGCATCTATTCCCCTAGATGACTGAAGAACCTTTGATTTTACATTTTAAAAACGGCGGCAAAGCATCTAGGGTCCTTAATCGCATATATACCATAAAAAATTTGCTGCTATCAGACTGTAAGCTAATCAAGTCTATATTTTAATACCCATAAGTTTACTGTCAGTCTGTCAGGAAAATAATGAGCATTTTGTCCGATTGAAAATCGCATAGCCGCTGAGAAAATTTGTGTCGCGTTAAAATCAACTTTTTCACTTCAGCGGCGCGATTGGCGCAGCAATACTATTATGCTTATTATTTTTCCGACAAACTGATAACAAGCTTGTATTCATCAAAATCTAAACTTTAACTCTACATAAATTTTTTCAGAATTCCCCTCATCAAACAACAGACCCTCCGCGAGCAGTTGATCGCCCATGGAAACCATGATATTTACATGAAACATCGCGCCGAGGCCATCAAAAACCGTCTGGATGACTTGGAAGACTACGGAGATGCGCGATTGGTCAAAGACAAGGAAATTGACGAGCTTCTGAAGAACTACATGGATGCGCAATACTACGGAGTCATTTCGATCGGCTCTCCGCCACAAAACTTTACCGTAATCTTTGACACAGGCTCTTCGAACTTGTGGATTCCATCAAGGAAATGCCCCATTTATGATGTCGCTTGCAGTAAGCTTTAAAATTTATGATGACTGTAAAAAATTTGGGTCTCACCACGAAATCTACAGTAATACAAATTTATCTTTAGTGCTCCACCATCGCTACGACTCCGGTGCATCCAGCTCCTTCGAAGAGGACGGCCGAAAAATGCAGATCCAATACGGAACCGGCTCCATGAAAGGATTCATCAGCAAGGACACCGTTTGCGTTGCCGGCGTCTGCGCCGAGAAACAAGCGTTCGCCGAAGCGACCAGTGAGCCGGGACTGACGTTTATTGCCGCCAAATTTGATGGAATCTTGGGAATGGCTTATCCAAAAATCGCTGTGCTCGGAGTAACTCCGGTTTTCAACACTTTGATTGAGCAGAAGAAGGTGCCATATCCAGTGTTCTCGTTCTGGTTGGACAGGTAAGGCATAGTTGAAGTAAAAGACTGAGTTGGGTTGAAAACAGTAGTTTTTTGGAGGAAATAAAGGCTGATAGAATATTCTGGAACAATTTTTAATTTTAGGTTATAGTTGCAATTAATTGTTTGGACACTTTTCATCGTATAAAATGTTGTTTGAGTATAAAAAGCAAAAAATTGCTTCCAAAACAAGGCTACGTTGCTACAGTGGACATTGTTTAGATGTTTTTATGACCGATAATGAAACCTCTGTACAACGAATTCCCGTACAACAAAGCCTTTCTATAGCATAAATGCAATTTCAACAGTCCCAAAAGTCGATTTTAAGCCAGAATGAACCACTGTGCAACGAAACCTTTCTATAATCAATTTATCATTCTGTTCCTAATTCGTTGTGGAGAGGTTTTCTTTAGTTGCTTACTTTTAATTTCAACACCTTCTATCGTATTCTACGACACTTTTTTGTTGCTGAAAAAATTAAAAAAATGCCACTGTTTATGTTGTAATGCATATATGACAAAAAAAGTTCGTATTTTACCTAAAAACCTAGATTCAATATGCGTTTTATCGAAGAAGTTTATCAATAATGAAAGAAAAATATTTCAGAAACCCTCAAGATGAAGTTGGCGGCGAAATCACCTTCGGAGGCACCGATTCCAGAAGATACACTGGAGATATCAACTACGTTCCCGTGACTCGTCAAGCGTATTGGCAGTTCAAGATGGACAAGGTTGTTGATAGCAACAACGGAGCGATCGCTTGCGAAAACGGATGTCAGGTGAGAAAACACGTCCAGTCTATGATGACATACCTTCTAAGATTCAGTCATTATTTCAAACAGCAACTAAAAATGACTAATATTCTTTTTTCAGGCCATTGCTGACACCGGTACCTCCCTTATCGCCGGACCCAAAGCCCAAATCGAGCGGATCCAAAAGTTCATCGGAGCCGAGCCACTGGCCAAGGGAGAGTATATGGTCCGATGTGAGCAGGTTCCCAACCTCCCGCCCGTCCAGCTCGTCATCGGCGGCAAGACCTACACCTTGAAGGGAGAGGATTACATCCTGAAAGTCTCGAGCATGGGAAAGTCCATTTGCATCTCCGGCTTCATGGGAATTGAGCTCCCACCATCCGCAGGCGACCTTTGGATTTTGGGTGACGTCTTCATTGGCCGTTATTACACCGTTTTCGATTTTGGCGAGAACAGAGTCGGCTTCGCTCAGAGCACCACGGTCAGCGGAAAACCGTTGGTTCCGGCGCCTAAAGCATTTATCGAGCTCGATGAGAGCAGCGAAGAAGATTATTGAGATTTTTAATGGCCTTGACTTTTTATTGGCTTGAAAAACAGTTAATTTTTTTATATTTTAAAGCATTTTTTATTCAGAATAACGCTTAAAACTGTAGAATATGAATAAATAATTGAATAATTAAATTGTAAATGAATGTTTTTTTGATGTATCTTGCTTAATTGAAAATAAATTAAAGGTAAATTTCGATTTTGAAAGCAATTCTTTAGAAGGCCTTTCCAAAATGTTGCAAGATGTCTTCGATGCCGAAGCCAGCTTCACGTTTGGCAATAGTATTGTTGGGGTGGCACAATAGATCACAAACGTCTTTTGGTTGAGAGTTTTGGAGGTATAATAACGCGCCAATTGAGGTGACACCGCAAATCGGCACTAGCTCTCGGCTCTTGAGTTGAAAAAGAGAACAGGCGGCTGGGAGCTGAAAAAACATTGAATTAAAGGCAGTAATTTGCTACTGTAGGCGTATCAAGAGGTCTAAGGTATCGCAAAATTCGTTGTAAACTTCAGCGAAGCCTCTGTATAACAAATTATAAGGGAGTAAAAAATTGATTCCTAATAGAATTTTTCGTTGTATGGAGATGCGTTTTTAACAAGGAAAGAACTTCTATGGGGTATGGAGTTACAGGTCGACTCATATATCAAAAAATTCGCAAAATTTTTCTGATTCAGAATATGTAAAAATTAGCTGCCAAATTTTGGTTCGTAAGGGTGAAAAAATCCTCAGAACTTTTCTCGCAACACCATGAAAATGCGCCTTTTTTACATTGGAACTACTGATTAAGGTGTAGTATAAATTAAATTTGATATTTTAAGGCTTGTAAAGATACCAGAGTTTACGTTAACTCAAAAACAAGCTTTTGATTTGGTAAAAACTTGGTCAAAAGGGCATTTGCGTGGCCACGCGTGGTGTTTCGAGAAAAGTTCCGAGAGGTTTTTCACCCTTACATACCAAAATTAGGCAGCTTATTTTTACATATTCTGAATCAGAAAAATTTTGCGAATTTTTTGATATATGGCTCGACCTGTAACTCCATACTCCATAGAAGTACTCTCCTTGTAAGCAAAAGTTGACTCTTGGGACTTTTGAATTTCTTCGTTATAGACAGATTTCGTTGTACACTGATTCGTAGTATCAAAGTTTCTATGTCTTCATTTGCCCTCGTTTAAGGAAAAACCCGATAAATACACATATATCAGTCTGTCGGGAAAATAATGTGGACTTGTCGCAGCTAAATGTCTTCCCTCTTCACATTTCCGCTACAAATCTCTGGCCGCGACTAGTCGTCGCAAAGTGATGATAAGCTATTCCAATGTGCAAAAAATCCACATTATTTTCCCGACAGATTGACAATTGATATGTCTTACCGCAATCAAAGTCTCCGGATAATCGACGATAAACTTTTGAGTGCTTGCAACAATCTCCTTGCATTCTGGACACAGCGCGCTGGTAGCCATTTCCAATGGACGAGCCATTTGCCAGATATATCGGAACATCAAACTGTCGACCGGAACCAACTCTTCCCACTTGTCTTCGTGGTCGGTAATCTCGTTTTCGACTAAAGTCCGCCCGATATCTGCTAAGACCTTGGACTTGACCTTCGCAGGCTTCAGGTAGTCGTTGACGTCAGCAAAGACGTCGCCTGAAGAGGAATGATAGGATGGTTACATATACATAAAATTACAGAAATAAGGTTGTGATACCTGAAGTTACGGTGATTAAAAGAAGCAAGTATGTGAGAGAAGAGAGCATCGCTAAAGGAGGAAAGTTATAGATAATATTTTGAGTGTCATGGAGCTTTTATATTGGAAGTAAATTAAAAAGCAAAGATAATGCTCACGTATTTTAAACGGGAAAGCAAGGAAAAATATTGGTTAAGCTGCGATTAGACCAATAATTTACTCTGTATACAAAAAACTAGGACAAGAACGAGATGAAAATTCTGTTGCCCCAACTCCCAAACCCAATTTGATAATATAAAAGCTAATTCTGTAAGAAAACCCCTCATCGAATCATGTTTTTCTTCATTGTTTTCTCTCTTCTTTTTGCTGGTCTTCAAGGTAATCACAAGCCCTCTTTAACTTCCAATTTTTATTTCATTTTAGCCAACTTCCTCGAAGATATCGGTCAATTCTTCAAGCCCGCCGATCTCGGTGACAAAGAATTGGCCACTTTGGGGCTGAGCTTGTTTTCTGCTCAATGGAAAGAGCATGGCAAAGCGTTTTCCTCTGATTTCCCTGCGACAAAAGTTGTGACCAAGTTTATTGATCAAATCTCAGCGCCTTTGCAATTCGCCAGCTTTGTGGTTTGTCCTCAATGCAACTCGCATGTCGCTGATATTCAAAAGGCCATCAAGGAGAACGAGGATATCCCCAGATGGCTCGTTGAGATTGCGGTACGTAGAAGATAAGATGTTCTTACTATTCAATGAAGAAGTGTCGACATCTCTTAACTATACAAGTTTCCTTGTAGCTCCCATTGACAGTCTGCCCAGCCTTCTACGCGGTCGACGCAAAGCTTGTCCCAATTTGTTTCATCGCTGGATTTGGCGGTACCGTCTTTCTGACTCATGCCGAACCTTCAACGGTTTGCTCGGCCCTTCCTATGTGTGGTACCAGAAGTAAGAGAAGCTATGAGAGCACTCAAAGCTTGCAAAACTTAACGCCTTATGCCCGTGATACACATGGAAAGGGATCAGTTGGGGCTCATGACATTGTAAAGCGAATGACGGATGTCCTAGACATGATGAAGAGCAATAGGATCGGCAAGGTTGAGGACTTTCAAAGTTAGAAAGTTTCTTTGTCAAACGCAGTATACCTTCCTCTAATTTATTATGCTTGTTTAGAATAAAGGTCATATATTCCATAAATATATATATATATATATATTTTTGATTTATCCTTCCAAATATCGCAACCACAATTGGCCGATGTCCAAAGGCCCGACAACCCAGTAACGAGACAAGACGAGAGCTCAAGAGTCAAGTGATTTATTCAGTGGAAAGGCCTTTTATAAGGAAGCCCCACGTAGGAAAGTACAATCAAATTTGAATAAATGCAGTTCGTTCCTCGTGGGAAAATCCCCGAAGCTCGGTCGTTCCACCTCACAGCCCAGTAGATGGCCGAAATACACACAATTCATAGATTCCAATATCTTCTAGCACGAGTAGTCGACCGCTCACTCCGTTGCTTCTTCATCAATTGTCCACACGCTCTGGCGACCAACCGCTCGCTCAGAATGCGACTTCTCAGTTCATCTTCCTTTCCTTCCAAATCCACGTCTCGGTTGAATGCAACGCAATGCCAATGCACGTCAATCCACCGCATTTCCTGAACCGTTTCGAAACTTCGTATCGTTTTCATTGATTTAAATGAGAGACGAAATGTCGCGAAATTATCGGCACTTTTTCTTGCCCGAAATAATTGCTTTTTCTCGAAAAGGAAGAAGAAAGATAAGAAAATGCTTTCTATCATTTCGTTTAGAACGAATCACCAAAAAGGGGCGGGAAATTTTTTCTTCTATTTTGGATTGAGGTGCAATGTCCTTTTAGGTTTCGTGGCGGGATGCGGCCACGGGTTGAATGCTGCTACGGCGACTGATAACATATATCATAAAATTCCAAAACGCACTGCTCTATTGTATTAAATGGATGTATCTTCAGTTGTAAATGAAACCGCGTTTATTCGTGGAAATCAAGAATAATAAATTAAAAGAAAACATTAATTTTGATGAACAACTTGAGTGCTTTCATAGCTTCATTTTCTTCTGCTACACATAGGGAGAGCCGAGCAAACAGTTGAAGGTTCGGCGTGAGTCAGAAAGACAGCACCGCCAAATCCGGCAATCAAACATACTGGGACAAGCTGCGCGTCAACGGCGTAGAAAGCTGGACAGACTGTCAATGGGAGCTGCAAGGAAACTTATATAGTTAAGAGATGTCGACACTTCTTCATTGAATAGTAAGAACATATTATCTTCTACTTACCGCAATCTCAACGAGCCATCTGGGGATATCCTCGTTCTCTTTGATGGCCTTTTGAATATCAGCGACATGCGAGTTGCATTGAGGACAAACCACAAAGCTGGCGAATTGCAAAGGCGCTGAGATTTGATCAATAAACTTGGTCACAACATTTGCTTGAGGGAAATCAGAAGAGAACGCTTTGCCATGCTCCTTCCATTGAGCGGAGAACAAGCTCAGTCCCAGAGTGGCCAATTCTTTGTCACTGAGATGAGCGGGCTTGAAGAATTGACCGATATCTTCGAGGAAGTTTGCTGAAATAAGATAAAGATTGGAAATTCAAGACCACTTGTTACCTTGAAGACCAGCAAAGAGAAGGGAGAAAACAATGAAGAACAACATGAGTAGGATTGGTGATTGATAATGAAATTGGACGCAGTCTTATACGCTTCAAATGGGTCGTCTATCTATGCTATAATACTTTCGATTTCTTCCTGATTTCTGGAGCAAAATAAATAAAAATAATAATTTCGGCTAATCCGGGTTTGACCAAGTTTGCTGTAATTTGGTTTGTAAAATACGGTCCCGTTTCTTTATATAATATAAAAAAGGGCATAGGCAGTAACATAGCCAAAAATAAACGATGTTTTACCTCTTCAGTATTCTTGTTAGTGTCGCCTTTGTGAAAGGTAGGTACTATATTGATAAATTTTTCGGTTTCAAAAAAAAGTAAAAATCTGACAATGAGCGTCGCACGTTAACCTCCCTTGATAGTCAACACTCAATTTTCAGCCAATTTCCTCGAAGACGTTGGTGTTTTCTTTGAGCCCGCTACGCTGTCCAACAAAGAAATGGCCAAGCTGGGCCTGGAATTATTCGACGCTCAATGGAAAAAGCATGGTGAAAAATTCACCGAAGATTTTAAAATTCCGCCAGTCGTTGCCAAAGTTGTCAAACAATTGGAGACACCGCTTCAATTCGCCAGCTTAGCGCTTTGTCCACAATGCGAAGACTTTGTTTCGGACATTCAAACGAAAGTCCGGGGTGACCAAGACTTCCCACGATGGGTCGCGGAGCTGACGGTAAGCTTTATCGTAGGAGGTATTAACGGCTTTTTTTTTTTTTTTTTTTTTGACGATTTGCAAACATGTCTCTTTTTTGCAATTTTACTGCAAATTTCAATAAAATTACCTTCGCCATGTCTCTAAAAACGATTTCGGCGACGTGCTCTGTGTATGTTTGCTTTACCATCACTTCCGTTGTAATTTCATTAATTCCAGCTCCCTGCGGCAGTCTGCCCTCTTCTCTTCTCCATTGATCGTGATCTTGTCCCAGTGTGCATGGTTGGCGGCTTTGGTCTCAGCATTTTCTTCGTCAACTCCGATCCAGCCTCGGTCTGCGCGGCTATACCACTATGTACATGGTCTACGGGGAGTCCTCGTTCAAGGACAACCACTGCCAGCCATTTTACGACCACTGCCGAAACCACTGTTAGAGTGAGTTGATGATTTATAACACAAACTTAAAACTGCTTTAGACCTCTGCTACAAGCGCTTCTACAAGCGCCGCCTCAACTGTAAACGAATAGTTGTAGTTGTCGAAAGTTACAGAAATATGTCTTGTTCAAGTTCATCAAAATCTAATTTATTTATTCTCTAAATTCGCTCTACGTTATCATATTTTAGTATTACATAAATATGAATAAAGTTAACCGATGTGTTCCTTAGAATTGGCTGCAATAAAAGTTATACAAAGAAGTCGGTCCATTCGGATGATGGGGCTCTATGGACTCTAGTGACCTTGTAGTTTGCCATCCCTCCGTTTCCTCCTTTACTGCCTATAAAAAAGACTTTTGTTCTGAAGATCATACAGTTAATTCTCTGTTCTGAAAACTCTTGTAAAACAAAGACCCCTTATAATGGACTATACTGATTCCAAAGCCATAAAGTCAATTTTAGGCGTAAATGAAGCCCCGTGCAACAAAACCGAGCGGAGAACTAGATTGGTTTGTTATGGAGGGGCTTCATATTACGGAGGCTGATTTTTGGCTTGAAAATATTTGCTATTTATTCTTCTGGAACTCTCTGTTATACCAGTCGGTCGGGAAAATATTGTGAACTCGTAGAGGCTTGAAATCGTCAATTATCGCTTTGGCTAGCCGTGACTCGAGATTTGGTTTGCGAGAGAGGCGAGGATTGACCTTTCACAGCGACAAACCCCCATTATTTTCCCGACAGATATAACATTGATATAACAAACATTTCAAGAGAGACCAGGGCCAATTTCAGGCGAAATCAACCTCCGTAAAACGAAGCCCTTCTATAACAAACAATTTCTTTGTTCTCCTCTTTTGTTGTACGGAGCTTCTTTCGGTCTAAAATTGACTTTGGGGTTTTGGAACCTCTCTAAATTGTCCGTCATAAGGAGTTTTTCTTGCACAAGACCTTGATGTATAAAGCTTTGACAGTAATCAAACCAAAATCTACTCTGATCTACTCAATTTCTTACCTTATCCCAAGCAATTTTGGCCTTCAGATACCTCAAATGTTGTGCCGGCGATATGCGACACAGCTGCTCGCACCAACAGTTGGGCGAAGGTATGAAGTCGGGAGCCCAGCACCTATCCAGTCCTTGAAGCGCAAACAGGGTCATGAGCCGGTCAACGGCGAACGTAACTGACAATGCAATAAAAGAATTATTAAATACGAAGCCGGCAATCTTGTTGTTGACGCGTTTCGTACCCTACAATCTTCACGTTTTGTAGTTTCGTTGTAATTATGAGGTATGTTTTGTATTTTCAACGGAATTTCGGGCTTTGTTCGCTGCGGCGGCCCTTTGTTACGACTATTTTATCCCTTTTAAGTTGTAAAATTTCAAAATGTTTGTTGTAAAGAAGAAATTTTAGCTCGATTCCGAAAAAATCTGGCTTGGAAAAGGAGTGGATTAGCATTTTTATTTCATAAAAAATGGATTTCGTTTGATGAGTTGGTTAGAATTGTAAAACTGCAAAGTAATTAGTAGAATGAGGGGGTTGAGGTACAAAACAAGAAGATTAAAAAACACAGAGTCATAGTTTGACGCAGTCAAACCTCCGCGCAACCGATTTCAAGCGCCCACAAGGTTCGTTGTACAAGGGGTTTGTTGTAGAAAGGTTTGTTTTGGCATACAAGTTAGTTTTAAGACCTGCTTTGTTCGTTATATACAGTTTTTGCTGTACGGAGTTTTTTCCGAGAGAGAAAAACTTGACCCATGGAGGGCAAGACTTGACCCCATCTGCGGTACGGAGGCTCTGCTGTATAATAAGTGGAAAACTCCTCAACTAAAAGAAATTACAGTAGCTTTTGGTTGAAATAAAATTTTTCGGATTTGAAAAATGTCTACTATAATATCAATTTCAAAAAAAAAATAAAATTCAAAAGTCAAAAAAATTTCAAAATTTGGCAATGTTGTTGTCGATATATCCGGGCCGACTGGTCTGCACCTCCGTGATTGTCTCCACTCTCCCGCCCAGTCTTCGCTCCTGCTTCAGCCGCTGCTCCTTGAAGATTTCGAAGGCCTGCGAGTGGATGTCGTCGAAGGAAGGCGGCGGCATTGTCGGAGGCGGCGGCGGAGTGGGCTCAACCGCTCTGGGCTTGGCCTTCGGCGTCGTCGGCGGAGTCATAATCTTGGCGATCGTGGTGGTGATGGTGGAGTGGTGCTTGGGGGTTGAGGTGTTAAATGGAGGGGACTTCTCCGGGGTTACTTGCAACTAAAAACGGAAAGTTTATTAGCGGGAAGGGAGAGGGGGAAGTCGAAAATTGAAAAATGATGACAATTCATGATTGTGGTTGCCAAAGATGTTGTTTTTCCCCAAAAAAAAAAAACAATTTTTATTATCAATTCAAATTTTATATCAAAAATTTTTTTAATTACAACGGAGAAGCCTCTATATTACAAACCGCAGAAAAAAAACTTTTCGCTTGTCATCGAATTTGTTATTCATGTACGGAGTGAAATTTTGGCCAAAAAATTAACTTTTGGTACTTCTCAAGCCGTTTGTTATTGAAATTTTTTGTTGTACAGAGATTTGACTAAAATATCAGTTTGTCGGAAAAATAATGTGCACAATTTCACTGAGCCAATCTCATCGCTGAAGTGAAAAAAAACAAGTTGATTTCGTCACAACACAATTCATTTTCTCGTTGGCAATTCGATTTTTGCTGCAACAGAGTGCTCATTATTTTCCCGACAGACTCATATTTCCCGCTTATTTGACCTTGAAATATCATAGAATTTTATTTAAAGCCAAAATAAAATCAATAAAAATGTTATCTAGACCTTTACCCTGAGTCTGTTGTCCTTATCGGCCTGAATAAAGGAGGGCTCGCGTTTGAAATCGCCATTAGGTTCTGGCAAGTTTGGCAGTTTGATGGGTTCGAAATTTCTCTTTGACAAGTTCACTTCCTTGTCCAGTAAGTATTTTCCCAACAAGTCGATGATGAGTTGGCCAATCGGCGCTGTGATGAGGATGCTGAGAACGCAGGTGTTGAAGAGGAAGTTCATCTTTTCGGGATCGTGGTTCGCATAGGCGTAGCGGATCATCAGAGGGGCCAGAGCGGCCTGAAATAGAGATGTTTTTCTTGCAAAGCTCGTTAGAAAAAGTATCCAGAGAGGGATAAAAGTCCGTCTCGATGAAATTTTTTGTCTGTAAAATCAACGTATTTTGATACCTCGAAAATATAATTGTATTTTTTCCTGATTTGGCGTCAATAAAATTGTCGTCGTCTACAAATTTTCTCTGATGAAATATGGCACAAATTTATATTATTTTTTTCTAACATAAGATGCGAGACTCCTAGCTCGCACTTTTCAGAAACGGACAAAATTTTTAGGCCGAAAGTTTGAAAAAAATCCATTTTTTTGTGAATTTTGGTAGAAAAAACTTTATGCCTATTTCTACCGTACAGGGTAATTTTTCCAAAAAAATAGATTTTTTCCTTTCCAAACTAGCAGAGATACGGCCAAAAAGTTTTTATCTCACTGACCGCTCTCCCCCTTTCACGTCTCTCGGCCGCAAAGCTCGTTCAATATCTCGGCTGCGCTTCCAAATCTCGAGCTAAAACTTTCAGGCATTGATTTGTGGCCTATGTCCGGCATGCGAGCAAAATTTAAAAAAAAATGTTACACTTGCGGTACTTCTCTCACAAAATGCCAAGATTTTTTTCATTGCTTCATCGTTTTTTTCTAGTCTCTCTTGGTGCTCTAAAACCCACCTGAACCGTAGCCTTGGGCAAGAAGCACAGCGACACAAAGATCTTCTCCTTGATCGACAAGAACATGAACAAGGACATGATGAAGACTGTGATGATCCGGACTACAGCGCCAATGAATAAAATGGACATGGCGTTCCAAAACATATCCCAGTTCATCTGTAAATCAATTCACCATAAAAAATAGACACTTTTGTGTTAAAAAACTACAGTAATCCTACCACTGAGAAGTCGAACAACAATCCAATCAGCGCGAACAAAAACGGCTGAAGGAAATCGTCCCAGACAATTTTGAAGCATCGCTCTTCCTTCCTCGTCATTCGATGGTTATCAATTTTCCATCGCATCGAAGTCACAACGACCATCATGAAGACCGCGATTGGGCCAACCATTTCGCATCCAATCGACCGGGTGGCAAAGAAAATGGCCGTAGAAAACGAGCTGATTATAGCGCAGCGGATGAAGTGGACATGATGAACGTCATCGCGGGGGAGAACACGCAGGAGAAGGCCTGTAATGATATGATATATATAGACGGGGACTTATAAATCATTGTGTGTCCAGAAAATGTGTCACGATGACACTGGCTTAAAATGTGTCTGTGGTATAAAAAACAGCTGTATATGGCTAGGAGTACTCCCTAAAGAATGTCAAAAAAAAATTGGGCTTTGATAAGCTTCCCGCCGGAAAAAAATCTAGAAAATCCGTCATCCAAGTTGTGTATTGCAAAAATTTTGAGCTTAAATTTTTTGATGGTGCTCTAGAAAGTACTTCTATAAAAGTTTTTACCACTGACACATTTTAGGGGTGTCATCGTGACACATTTTCTGGAACACGATGATTTATAAGTCCCGAGAAATATCTGGACGTCAATGTTTTGATGATAACAACAAATAATCATTGTAAAATCCGCTCACCAAACAAGATGCCAAACAGCATTCCGATCAACACCTCAATGGGAATTCGCACAATCAAGTAGGTGAGGTCTTCTGAAATCGCCAAATAAACGAGTAAATCGTCCCCGCAAACACACCATTACCATTTCTCGTGAAGACCACGGAAGAGACGATGCTGAACGCGGTGATGCAATAGATGTTGTCGATGGAGACGGCCGCCATGATGGTGGTGGGGATGCCTTTGTTGGTGCCGCGGCCCTGCTCTTGCAAACGGATCATCGAAGGGCCCGACACGGCAGGGGAGGTTGAGGTGAGGACAAATCTGGAATTTAAATTGGGAAGAGCCTCAAGAATTGTTTGGAGAGTTGGTTTTAAAATACGCCTCTTTCGCTGACAACAACCTTTTTTGATAAACTCGGCACAGATAAAAGTTAGAGAAGACGTGACAGTTTTTTACAAATTTTGTCACAAAAAAATTCATACCAGTTTCTACTGTAGAGGGCTAGGTTACAACAAAAAGACTATATTTTCCGCGCGCAACTGGCAAAGATATGGCCAAAAAATGATTGATCAAACACGTGTTCAGAATATAAAGAAACTCTGAGCGTCGCAGTTGGAAGCATTCCCTCGTTAGATGAACTTACGCAAACAAAATAGCCAACGCCACGCTGACATCAAACATGAAGTGTGAAACCAAAACAACTGCCAACGCTTCTACTGTGGTCGACAGAAAGCCCAGGCTTGTAAAGACGCCTAACGATCGCTTCAGGGCATCTGGCTCCAAGTTAATTCCACAACGGATCAAAATCAACAGAAACGCCAGATTTCTCAAAGTATCGTCCCAGTAAGCGTCGATATTGAAAAATTGCGCAAAAATATCCACATTTCGAACCATTATACCAGCCAGTAACATCCCTGAAAGTATGTGGTACATCTTCAAAAACATGTGCTTCAAAAACATCTCAAAATTTTTTAGAATGACATTTGAGTTGTCTTACCAAGTAATGGAGGCAAATAAATCCATCCGATAATCTGGCCAAACACCATAGCTATCACCCATAGCAAAAAAAGCGCCATGACGGTTACAGTAGTCCCGACTTTGGGCTGAATCACCTCCAACGGGTGCAAGTAAGAGTCATTGGAAACGTTGAGCAAAGGCGAGAAGTCTTCGGCTAAGGGATTCCCCAAATCCTTTTGCAAAATAGCGCAGAATGTGATGTACAGAGAGATGATGATGAATATCGATGTGACGGCCACATTCGTCTGAAAATCACAGCCAATATTGGATTCTTAGGTAGAAGGAATGAGAAATGTAAAATGCATTGCCATTAATCAAGTCTTTCTAATTTTTAAAATAAGATTAATTGACCACCTAACTACATACAACAGTTTAACCTCGGCTGTGGGTTCCTCGGGCGCAGCTTGGACACAAAGAAGTTTTGTTTTCTCTTGGTAAACAATTTTTCTACGGTTTTGCACGTTGTTATATAATTTATTTCGTAATTTTCTTCACTTTTTTCAAGTTTTACATAATTTATTCAGCTTTTACTACATAACTATTTTTTTCAGTTTCACTGGTAGATCAAATTCTTATCCACTTCCGCGTCTTGCGCCCCTTTTGTTCTTCCAAGGGATTTGTTTTTTTGGTGGGGCCCAATATGCGGAACTTTTACCCAACGAAGTAAGCTTTTTGACATTTTTGTCTTTTGTAGGTTGAAAGTGAGAAGAGGAGAACCGGGACTAGGTTCAAAAAGAAGTGGGTGAAACCATTGGCAAAGCTTCCTCAAAGGTTGTTTGAAACTTGAGGAAGCCTTTGCCAAAGTTTCTTCGATTCTTAATGGACCTTAACCTTATTTTAGCCGGACTTTGGGGGCACTTTTCCCTTCCACATAACTGGAAAATGATATTGACATTGCCAAACTTCATATACTGAGATAGACCGAAGATATACCGATCCCTCCTGTTTTATGCCAAAACAGCAATACAACCCACAACAATGACGCTTATCCCCACTCAACCTACCTCTCTATGGTTAATCACGTTGATCAGCGTATTCTTCAAGTTTGGAGCCGCCGGCATTTTTGCACGTAAAACTCGCTGCAGTCTCGCGGCAAGGTTGGAATTGGGTTGTGCTGAAGACATCACAACGTAATATCATAAAGCATCAATGGAAGACAGCGGGACATCGGGAATGATCACATTATTTCAATAAGAGGGTTCGGCTTCTTTTCGAAATTTTCAGGAAGCATAAACAAAATAAAGACGACTTTGGAGGAAAAAGTAAATATAGAAACATTCAAAAAAGATTTTTTTGGTTGGAAACACAGCCAACCCACAACACAATGGATTCTTACACTAAAAACAAGCCTCATTTTAGGCCAAAATAAATCTCCGTTCAGCTAAGCCTTTCTATATATGATAAATAAAACACGAATTTTCTTGTGTCACCGACGACACGTTTCACGGAGGTTAGCCAAAAAATCTCAAAAATAAGACAACTTACGAAATCAGTCACCAAAATGGGTTCACAGAGAAAAAAATACTTCGGGCCCGCAAATCCACCCCACTTGACGTTTTCGCTGAGTGCACAGTCAGCGAAATTAACCGGCTTGGGGCAGTAAAAAATACTTTCTGGTCTTCAGTTTTGTCAAATCGGTGCAGGATTTGCATACTGATTTGATGTGTCGGAGCCGTGTTAAGGGCCGCCGGTCTGAAGTTTGAATCGAAAAAAGGGTTTTGCAGATAATGAAAACAAAATCCACAATGACTCATCGTTGTACAGTTTAATAGGAAATGCAAGGGAAATTTTGCATTTAACAATAAGTAGGTTTATTTAAGAGGAGGTATTCGATGTGTTGCATAGCAGGTACTTATAATTTCTTCAAATGGCGTCTGGGAATCAATGTTCTAATCAGGCTGTTGCAGTTTCAGTTATCTATGGGAACGACTTTTACCTAAAAAAAGCTCACATTTAGAGATGGCAATCGGGAAGTTTTAATCCTGTAAAACTTACCCTCAAAGTATTATCTTTCTCCACTTGGATTACTTGAGGCTTCACCTCAAACTCTTCAAAGCTCTCCACTTTGCTGGAATCAGTTTCTCTCTCTGCCAGCCTGACCTCTTTTTCCAACAAGTATTTCCCCAATAAGTCAATCAACAGTTGGCCAACAGGAGCAGTCGCAAGGATACTGAGTACACAAGTGTTGAAAAGGAATTTTGACTTGTCCCTGTCGTCGTTTCCGGTGGCGTATTGAATAATAAAAGGGGCTAGAGCTGCCTGCAAACAAAGCAACGTAACTAGGGGCGTTATGTATTGTACTGTTGCATGTACAGCAAAACTTCTGTACAACAAGTCCCGTAGGACAAAACCGGTCTATAACGAAGAATTTCAGAAGTCCGAAAAGCCAGTTTTATATCAAAAAGTAGGACCAGACACATCTCAACAGGACCGCCAACCAACTTCCCATGCCATTCCCCGCCATTCAGCTAGAACACCCGGCCTTCGACTTTGTCCCGCCACGAACAACTCAACTGCTAATTGGCATTCTGCACCGACCGGTCATTGGGACGTCTTCGTGGAATATTCTAATCACACTTTTGGTTGTTTGGGAAGCGGACGGTCGACCATTGTTCGTCGTCCTCACTTCTTTGTTTTTTGTGTGATTTGCCCCTCTGTTGGCGTTATTTCGACGGATAATAAACATCTCAGTGAATTATCTTGTCGTTCCCTTTATCTTTGAGTATCCCGGGTCAAGTTCCCGCAGTATACTTCCTAGTGACCTTACCCCATTGATGGTATAAAAGGTCCTATTAAAATAAATCGTCCTACAACATATGTGGTCGTAAAATTCTTTCTATAGAGGCTTGTACATACACTTCAATCAGCAGCACTTCTCGACAATGAACTTATATCATAAATACCCACCTGAACAGTAGCCTTTGGGAAGAAGCAAATCGATATAAAGATCCTCTCCTTGAACGATAAAGCCATAAAAATTGACATAGCAAACACAGCGATGACCCGAATTGCAGCTCCAATAAAAATTATTGCCATTGCACTCCAAAATACATCCCAATTAATCTGAAATAAATCTGTCAGCGAAAATAAAAATATCAAAGTTAAAACAAACGTATTTTAAAATGAGTCAAAGTTTTGTACAACGAATCAAAGCCAGGCTCCGTTTTACCAAGGCTTTGTAGCACAGAAGCCCGCAACAAGTTAGTACTTATAATTGTCGTTTATAAAATTATATAATATATAGGATAGAATCGACGTATTTTACCCTCAATTTACCTGTGAAAAATCGAAGACCAATCCAATCAACGCGAAGAGGAATGGCTGCAACACATCGTCCCATATAATCTTGAAGCACTTTTCTTCCTTCTTTGTCTTCTTCGGATTATCTCTCTCCCATTTTATTGAAGCCACCACAACCATTATGAACACTGATATAGGCCCAATCATTGTGTGGCCAGTCGACTTCGCGGCGAAGAAAATGGCGGTTGAAAAAGAGCTGATAATAACGGAACGGATAAAATGAGCATGTCGAACCCTGACTCGAGGGAAAACGCAGAGAAGTAAGCCTGAAATTTAAGAGACAAAATTTCAGGAGAGATTGGCCGAACATACCAAAGATGATTCCAGAGACAACAGCGAAAGTGACTTCAACAACAATTCGAATGATGAGGAGTGTGAGGTCATCTGAAAAAGTAACTCTGTTACATGTATGCGTCAGTCTGTCGGGAAAATAATGAGCAAAATGTCGCCGAAAAAATGAATTGTGTCGCGGTGAAATCAACTGGCTTTTCACATGAGCGATGCTATTGGCGAAGCGACGTTGTGTTCATTATTTTCCCGACAAATTGAAAAGTAAGTATTGTTTGCGCTGGGCGTGGTCCTTAAAGAGGCGATGCCAACATTTACGGACAGGCCAGCAACGCCGACGGCCCGTAGGTTATTGATGAAAACAAACAAGGGCTTCTCACCATTCCCGGTTCCACCGAAAAACACAGCAGCTGTAATGCTGAACGCAGTTATACAATAAATGTTATCGATGGAAGCTGCAGCCAAGATCATCGTCGGTATTCCTTTCTCAGTCCCTCGACCGTGCGCTTGCAGTCGAATCATTGATGGAACAGTGACTGCAGGGGATGTTGAAGTTAAAACGAATCTGAAAAAAACATTTTTAGCTGCGGCTTTGTCAAGATTGGCAAACCCGAGCCACTGAGGTTGCTATTATATTTTCTCTTATGCTAGAGTATATATGGGGCTGTAAAAGAACTTACGAGAAAAGAATAGCCAACGGCAGACTGATCCCAAATAAATAATACGATGCCAGGACGACAGCAATTGCTTCAATGGTCGTAGAGATGAAACCTAGGCTGCTGAATATCGCCAGCGATTTCTTCAAGACATCTGGATCCAAGTTCAGGCCACATCTGATAAGAATGAGAAGGAAAGCCAAGCTTCGCAGGATGCTGTCCCAATCTGCGTCGATATTCTGAATCGGCGAGAAGAATTCGACATTCTTTACGAGCATACCGGCCAGGAGCATACCTGAAATTATAAAAAAATAATGTCATACTTTTTCGCGGTCAATTGAAAAGGATCAAAAAACATAAGGGGTTTTTTGAGAGGAGATTTTATTTTGGCCTAAAATTGGCTCTAGGGGGCTCTGATATTGCTTGTTGTATAAGTGTAGTATCCTCAAATTGAATTTTCGTTACAGACAGGAGAGTCCCAGAAGTCTTTTTTGACCGGTTTCTTGACCAACTGGGCAAGAAAGAGGTCTTTCTTGACAGGCCTAGCCATTTACGGGCCTTCCGAATTTTTGGAATCTAATTTTGGCCAATAAAAAAATTTTTTTTCCGATAAATCTTAATACGAAAACCGCAATTTCTAATGTAAGTTTAATTGCTTGATATGACGAGAGCCACCGTATGATAAAACTTCCGAACACCTTTCAAGAACAATTTTACAATACAATTTTCTTACCAAGCAGCGGCGGTAGTCTTAGCCAGGTCATGACTTGTCCAAACACCATTGCAATTGCCCAAAGAAAAAACAGTGCCATTACTGTGGCAGTGCTTGAGACTTGAGGCTTGGTTTCTTCAAGCGGATTCAAATGAGATCCATTGAATATAGGGAGTAATGATGATATGCCTTCATCTAATGGATTGTAGAGACTTTTTTGTAAGATAGAGCAGAGTGAGATGTAAAGTGTGAGCAGAATAAGAATCGATGTAATCGCGACATTTAGCTGAAAATCATCTATATTATTAGTGAAAACTCTGTTTCTTAACAAGATCAAAAAAATTTTAGAAGGGCTTTGTTGTACAGAGGTCCATTTTAACCCAAAATTGATTTTTGAGAGCTCCAAAACGGTTTGTTAAAGATAGTTTTTGTCTTACAGAAATTTTACTATACGCTTTACACCTACCTCACGATGCAGAAGGCTTTTGGCCAACATTTTCTTCATTTTTATGTAGATAAGTTTCGAAAATTGTCCAAACAATTCATGAAGCAAGAATGTCTCCTCGACCGAAAACTGAAATGGACGCCAAAAATCATTTCGTTATTACAACGAGCGGACCTGAGCGTGAAACAACAACGAGCAGAAATCGCGTTTCTGTTATCTTGATTTTTGAAGCTCCAAGAGCGCGGAAAAATAAGGAAACAAAAGTCTCGAGGAAAACTGACGGCTTGGGAGACAAAAAAATACAGTTTTTTGGTCATCAAAAATCTCCATGTGCGATACCCAGATTTTGATGAAACTTGGCACAAATTTAGAGAAATTTTTCCAAAGAAATCTGCTAGACTTCTAGCCTGCGGTTTCCAGGGACAACTGAGGTTTTTAGGTCGGAAGTTGGAAAAAATTTGACGTTTTTTTGTAAATTTTTGAATAAAAAGCTTTGCAGTTACACCTAATTCAATCGTAGAGGATAATTTGCCCGTAAAAAATAGCTTTTTTCCGCGCAAAAAACACAAAGATTTGGACAATAAGTGCTTTTTTCTGTGATTGCTCTACGCGTTTTACGAACTCTCTCAGCCGCGGGGACCGTTGAATATCTGCGCCTTCAAAGCTCAAGCTAAAATTGTCGCCACAAAAAATGGGTTCAATAAAAAGACCGACATGTATCATCAAGAAATGCACCTTTTTAATTACAAAAATTATTATTACAAACTCAAAGCTTCAAAATACATTATTTTTTACAATTTCTCGCATGTCCGGCTGAACGCTGCCGTCGACGAATCGGCAGGTGACAAATTCTGTTCCAACGGGTATACTGAATGAAGAGTGCACCATCCCTTTTTGAATGTCACGGACTGAAATACATACCAATGAAAAATTTGTTGGTAAATTTAGCTTTTCAAAAAATCCAAAACTCACTTTGCATTGAGGATTTCCAAAGCAAATGCTCAAGCAGTCAGTAACGGTCTCCAAATTGGTCACTTGGCCCAAAATGTAGCCGTTTACTTTTTGTTTATAGATCAGTTTGAATGAGGAGATGCCATCATCACATCCGAGGGATTCTAAAGGAAGAAATAAGTAAGTTTCTGGCTATATACCGTGAAATTCCTATTACAAACTCTTCTACAATAAAACCTCTCTATAACAAACAATTTCGGAGGTCTCAAAAAAACAAATTTTGGGTCAATCTCAGTACAAAAAAGCCCTCCTTATTGGCCATAATTAGCCTCGTTATAACAAACTCCCTTCGATAATTCCCAGCTTTTTTTTGGCTTATACGATTTGCTGTACAAAAGAGCAACTGTCCCTTACTTTTAATGCAAATTCTCTCAGCCACGGAGGTGGCCGAAGCTCTGGCTTCAATCCTTGTGAAGATCCCAATCTCCTTGATGGCCTCGTCGAAAAGTTCGCACTTTTCTTCAACAGAATCGTGTGTAAATGCAATGCAGGCAGTACGATCGCCAACGGCATTCTGAAAATATACAGACGTGTACAGCAAAACAAAAGCAATTTTGTCGGAAAAATAGTGAGCGCTCTACCGCACCGAAAAACGCCGCCGATAAAATATTATAAATTGTGTCGCAGCAAAATAAAATTGCTTTTCACTTCAGCTAACGCGATTGGCGCAGCGAATTGCTCTCATTATTTTTCCGGCAACAGCAGTAGGTCTCGGAAGGCCCAGCCACGAAACCTTTCTATAACAAACAACCTTTTCGGACGTTAGCAATTCCCCTCTACAGAAGGCCATCGATAATTCCAATAGGGTTTTTGCAAATGACTATGACGGAATTTTTAGAATTTACATGGTGGGTCTGATCCAGTGGCAAAAAACGTCTCATTTTGCGCACAGGAGGTATCAAAAATATGGCAAAATACCTCTCTCCAAGTGAAAAGACTCCGATTTCAAAAGCGCGCCCGCTCTTTTTGTAAGGGAAGGGGCGCACCCTTCAAAACCGAGTCTTTTCTTACAGTGAGGAAGAAAATTGTTAACTACAATGACATAACTAAATATTATGTAAAAGATCCTATAGAACCCATAGTACTTTGGTGCTCTCTTGCCCCTTGGCCATTTACAGTGAGGGACCTGATCCAATGGCAAAAAACGTCATCTTTTGCATCCCGGAAGGGGCCAAAATGACTCCAAACCCTTCCCTTCTCTAAGCTAAAAAACTCCGCTTTGAAAAGCGCGCCCTTTCCTTCAAGGCGGGTTCTTCAAATCGGGGTTTTATAGCTTAGAGAAGGGAAGGGTTTGGAGTCATTTTGGCCCCTTCCGGGATGCAAAAGCCGACGTTTTTTGCCATTGGATCCCGTCCCTCACTGTAGTTGGAGAGGGAATCATTTTGCCACATTTTTGATACTTCTCGGATGCAAAATGGTAGGATTTTTGCAAATTTATCAAGTCCGTCACTGTGTATGTAATGAACACTTATTACGTGCGACTTACAATATTCTGCGTGCAGTAGTTCGAACAGCCCTCGCGGTCCACGCCGTTGATAACAGCCCGAGCTGAGTCGTTGTTTCCCAGGCTGAAGCCCTCAGCCAAGATGTAGGAGGTTATATGGTCCACCGGACAAGCTGAAAATAGAATGGAGCGTATATTCTAACCTTGTATTTGCTATTGAAAGTCAATTTTGGCCTAAAATTGACTCTTGAGACCATTGAAATTTTTCATTATAAACACGTCCGTTGTATACGAAATTGTTGCAAGAAAAAAAACAGAGGCGTCCTCGTATTTTAAAAATCCTAATTTTTTTTACCTGTGCTCGGAGTTGCGGCCAAAAAGTAGTGATCCGGCTTCTTCTCGGGCTTGGTTTGTTTCGGCGGCACTTGAACTGGACGGTCGACTCTCAGCGTGGCTCCGGCTCGGGCTTTTGGTCGAGCTTGACCCTGGGGATATGAACGGATTGGAGCTGAAAGAATGGCTTAGCGGTTCAGCGATAAAATCAATTAAATGAAGTGCTGTACTGTATCAGTCTGTCGGGAAAATAGTGAGCAAAAAGTATACAACAAACCCTCCTTATTGCCCAAAGTTTGTCTCTGTATAACAAAGACCCTCAATCCGCCTATTGGGAAATTAATGAGCGCTCTGTCGTATCAAACATCGCGTCGCCGCCGAAAAAATGGATTGTGTCGCGGCAAAATCAAATTGTTTTTACGTCACCACGATCATCGCAGCGAAAGAGCGCTTATTATTTTCCCGACAGATTGATAATAGTACGTTGGCAAAGTAGCTGAATTTTGGCTAGCAGGATGCGAGCGATAGCGATGTTGTGAGCGGACTAGTATACCACATAATGGTTGAAGGCAAATCCTTACAGATCGGGTCAGCACAAACGCCAGTAAATGACGTCCGATTATAGTAATCATGTCCGGTCGCGAACACAACCTTGGCATTTTCATAATTTCCATCGTGGTTGTAGAGCTGGCACGTCTTGAAGTTCTTGTGATACACCAAGGATGCGCATCCGTCCTGAAAAAAATATAACAGGGGTTTCAAAAGAAGTCATCGTAAAATTGTCAAAGCCAAGGTATTTATTATAATACATATAGCAATAGAAAATAAGACGTACCCCATTTTTCACAGCCTTCAGAACACAATACGATATGCAATCGAACGGGCTGACATTCCACAGCTCAGCGATTGGGACGGCGTTGGAGACGCCTCGCCGGAGAATTGGAGTGAAACATTCATTTGCTGGAACCGAGATTTTTATAGTGTTATATTTTTGTACCAGAAAATGATGATAGACATTAAGAAAGACCATTTATTTGACAATGAAATGCCTCAACGACAAGAGTTGTTTACTTACCAAGTCTTGTTGCGACAGGGTCAATCCGAGCCGCATGTAGGTAGGTGAGAAGGAATGAGAATATGAGTAGTAATATCATTCTTACTGCCGACTGTTAAAGCTCTGAAAGAAGATGGTAGATCTCAAGAGAGATGTATTTCGAATACAATACTCTTAAAAATGATCTTTTAGTGAAATTTGCGGAATATTTCGAGGCCGTTTTCTCCTTATTTTGAATTCTCTCTTGTAAGCATAATAATTTTTTGAAAACATTTATGTTAGAAGCAAAACGTGAGGATGACATACGGAAAGAAACTTAAAAATATACAGTGCAATGAATGTGAAACAAGCTCCAATACAATGAACCTTCGCATCAAAAGTTTCTAGAAGTCAAAAAATTGATTTTATGTATGCCAAGGAAAACCTCCCCACAGAAAAACCTTTGATAACAAATTATTGTATTTTTTTCCTTCCTTGCTATACATGTTTTAAAAGCGCAATTTCCGAGCTTCAGAATCGTATGTTCAACATATCTCGTAATCCACCTCAAAGCTCACAGGAATTCGCACAAATCGACGTCCCAAAATACACAAGACTTATGGGACACCCTAATAATACAAGGGCTACTGTAACAAAAAAAAATCACTTTGCCACTTCGGAAAAATTCCCTGGCCTTTTTGCCTATTCTGCCTCTTCAACAATGCCCCTCAAGCTCCAATCAGGCACAAAGTTCACATGATTTCCCCCCTTTCCCTTTCAACCACTGCCGCATAAAAAACCCGGGATCTCGGCGACGCGAATTTACGGACTGCCGGATTGATCTGTTTCAACCGTACGACGTCAAAAACGGCATGCGAAGTAGAACGGCGCCGATTAGAAAAGCTCGTAAATTCTCGCCAAAAAGTGAAAACATTCGACTTTTCGTTTTGATCCCGTCGATAAATTCTGCAAAGAATTCTCGTAAATTTACCGAGATTTGTGGGGGAAGATCAACAAACCACAACATATCTTTGAAATATATATAGAGAGAGCTATGGATCAAGGGGATGATGAGATTGAGTTTGTAGTCTATAAAGGGATATATACCTTGTGAGATCGGTATAACATGTGGTTTTTTTAATCGAGGGCAATGTTTTGGGCTACTGTGTTATCTACAGCCTCAGTAAATCAAATTTTTAATCGTTTACTGCCTGACGTGAAGAAATTACAGTAATAAAATTATATCCCATTCATAGGACGCCATGGTTAAGCAGCAGCTCAAAATTTGAAGAAATTGGGTCAATTTGCCCTCCGGTAATTTTCCTTTTCACCATTTATTACAGGGTGTCCAGAGAAATGTGCCGGAAAGTTTTTGTCGATTTCTTGGCGCTCAATCAAGATATCCGAAAGATCTAAAAAAAAATACAAGTATTCATAAGGTTTTTGGTTTCTTTTTTGTTTTGCTCCGATTGACTTGATTTTTGGCATGGTGTTTGCTTAAGACTGTCTCATTATGAATTTGAAAAAAATTTTCGAAATTTTCAATTTTGAGTGACCTATGACGTCACGAAAAGTCAAAACTTTGAGCCACCATATCTCGCTTCGTTTTATAGGTATCGACTTGAATTTTGGTTTCGTCGCGTATGGTACATAATGGGACAATCACTGTCGAGATTTTTTCGAAATTTCAAAATTTACGAAAAAAATCTCAAAAAAAGACCTTTTTTCGTATCTTTTAATTAGACCGGGGAATATTGAAATGCAAGCTTCTACAAGTCCATATCGGGAAAGCAAATTCATAACTAAGAGATAACTCCATGTATGTGTAGATACGGCCATGTACAAACTTACACTTCCAGAAAACCCCGTCATGATGACGGAATTTCTGGATTTTTTCGATTCCATTGAATTCTACGTATCCGACTTCCTATTGGTACGTGCCTTTCTTTTCTGTAGTGCACTTCGTATTTTAGCTATGGCTTACTGTAAAAAATACGATTTGCACAGTGCAAATTTCAAAAAAATCGTTCTTGGCTCCCAGGTCGAAATTCGAAAAAACGGCTCGCTGATCTTAGTTTTCTTGCCCGAAGACTGTCCCTAAATTTTTTCAGAACATTCTACGTAGCCATTGTTTCAGAAAATCTACATACTTGAAAACGCAATTTTTCGAAATTTTCAAAATTTTGACTTTTTCAAAATTTTCTATCTGATGTACAACAACAATGCCAAAAATGTCCAACAATAGATTGTAGAGCTCGAAGAGCTCTACAAATTACCCGCTTACATCTTCTTCGTATCTTTAAAATTACGGCCGCCAGTGCGGCCGGAAGTTTCGGTCGATTTTTGGTGCACCGTGCGAAAAAAATCGCCCTCAGGGCAATAAGTGGAGTTGAACAAATTGATCATATGGGTGCTATATGACACAAAATGAACTACCATCGTGCCAAGTTTCAGCTTTCTACCTACAATATTCCGTGCGCACCGTGCGGTCGAAAAAAAATTTCGAAATTTCGGCCAAAATTCGGCCCTGAGGGTTTGAAACGTGATTTTTTCGGATTTGAATTTCGTCCATCGTATTCAGCACATTGAGCTGCTACATAAGCAGTTATTAATTCCTAAAATACGCACAGGTTGAAAAAGCAGAATTCGAATTTCCGAATTTTTGGATTTTGTTTACTCTGACGAAAGTTACTATAGCTCGGGAACAAGGTCGAAATTCAAAAATCGGCTCCACGGGTGCAGTAGATAATTTTTTTGCCTTGGTATACCCGGTGAAATCCGAACCCTGTAATAAGCCCCTAAGGCCAAATCGTGCAGCGACTTTTTTTACCAAAAAAATCAAAATTTTTAAAACCGTCAAAACTCGAAAATTTCCAATTAACATTCGTCTAAAAGTCACATATTCGGAATCTCCATGTCATTTTGGATATAGTCGTATCTTTTTTCCCGGTACTTTTAGTGCAACAAGTGCCAGTTTTGAAAAAACGCCCACTTCCATGACCGAAAACACAAAAAAAAGAGCGCGGCGAAGAGAGAGAGCGGGCAGAGAACCGCTTCCTTCTTCGTTTGGCGGGAGAAAAGAGAGAGTGGGAAAGGGGTGGAGGGTGGTTAGACAAAGGTTTTCTCTTTCGATTCCGGTCAGAGATAAGACGGAGAGAGTGCTGAGAATGAGGATGGTGGTGAGGAACCGGTCATCATGACGGGGTTTTCTGGATTTTTTTCGAGAAATTTTTGTAAAATTATTTTTTTGGTCCTGAATTCTCGGGATTTGGCCGTCTTAGGACCAAATTTGATGGGGAATCTGGGAAAAATATTGGCTTTGGATAATTTTGAGTTCTGAGTCTATTTTTTCGAGTTTTTTAGTTGATTTTTGGTTGCTGAAAGTATTTCTGATCAACTTCTGGTGAAAGAAAATCATTTTAGGTAACAAAAGATAGTCCGTAGGCCGTCGCCTCATGCCGGCGGGCTCTTTAGCCTGACTTAGCGATTAGGGTAAGCTTAGCGATTTTAACTTTTCGATCTAAAACAAGGTCGGCATAGCGTTTTGAGCGCTGAAACTTTCCACTAGGCTCAGTCAAACGCGTAGCGTTTTTCTGCCGCGGCCGGAGGCCGTCGGCAAAGATTTGGCGAGCGTTTCTTCCACATAGGCGACTTCTTTTCGACGTTGAACAGGTCCAAATCGCGCGCAAAGTTGCCTTTATCCGCAGAGCTGCCCGAGAGACGTGAGCAGCCGCAGGCTGCGAAGTCTCGAGCCCTAGTTCTTTTTGCAGGATAAAGAAGAATATGGGCGGTTTTTTGTGCAAAGGAATCATTTTCTCCGCCAGCGCGGAAGGCAGTGTATTCGGCGGAGACTTTTGATAGCTTTTTTGATCATCACACCAACTTTAAACGCTTTATTATGAACTTTGATGGTTGAAACAAAGATATTTGCATATTTTCATGTTTACCAAGTGTTCGGCGAAGGTATGGCGGACGCTCGCCGAATCGGCGGAGGCCATAACTCAGCTGCGGACAAGACATGGTCCAACACAATTTTTATGGCCTGGCTAGAACACCCTGCTGGCTTCGTATGCCTTCGAAAATTTTGTCACCAAGCTTTGGCAGAAGCTAAGCCATCGGAAAACCACTTGGTGCACCAGAAAACAACAAAATATTTTTTGTTCAAATTTCCTTTTGCCTTGCTGTTTCAAACCTCCGCACGGTGCACTCTGACTTTATCGGTGTTGCAGCGACAGGCTGCACCGTGCAGTCGCTATATGGGATCGCATTGCGATGTCGCTGTCTGTGTGATTTATTGCGTCAAAAATTTGAAGACTTTCCGGAAGCTTCAGCATCATAATAATGCGTTTAAAATTGGTGTGATGGCCAAAAAAGCGATCAAAAGTCTCCGCCGAATACACTGCCTTCCGCGCTGGCGGAAAAAATGATTCTTTAGGACAAAAAACCGCCCAAATTCTTCTTTATCCTGCAAAAAGAATTTTTCGGATATCTTTATTGAGCGCCAAGAAATCGACAAAAACTTTTCGGCACATTTCTCTGGACACCCTGTATAATTGTAAGTCAATCATCATCACTCTCCTCCACAACTAAACTCCGTTTATTGTCGTACGAAAGTGGAATAAGACCCAACATGGACTGAATAACTTCTTGCAAAGCGGACTTTCTGCGATGCTACAAAATGGAGAATGTGTACATAGAATACATATTAAAATAGACAACAAATACATTTGGGACAGGGGAATTCTCTTTGGTACGGTGGGGGAGAGATCTTGAGTAATTGTAATCGAATATTACAAACGGGTGTTACAACTACAGATTAAAGAGGTTCACGATTATTGCAAGCGCGAGACTTGGATGACAGCTGGGGTTACTGTAACAGAAACGGTGGTTACTGTAACAAATATTGGATTACTGTAATTAGAGTGGGTTTTACGGTAACAAAAGCTTCATTACGGTAGCCGAACTTGGATTACTGTAACTGAGCTGCTGGTTATACAAGTTTAGGTTACTGTAACGGAACTTGAAGCTACTGTAACACGACTCAAATTACAGTAACAAGACTTGGATAACTGCGACTAAGTGGCGGATGACATGAAGCTGACGTCAGGTTACTGTAGCATTAGCCGAGACGAAGCCGCGCCCGTTTTTCCATCATTTCCTGCAGCTGATCGGCGCGCTTCCCCAACCTCATGTAGGCGCGCTTCCCCAGCCGCATGTAGGCCCGTTTTTGGCCGGGTATCGCCGCTTCCGCACCCAGCAGCTGCGCCGGCGCTTGGGCCTGGGGATTGTCGTTCGCGTAGTAGAGAGTGGAGTAGGGTGAGCGGCTGAGGAACGATGGATCCGCCGGCTGCTCGCCGAATACTGCGTCTGTATCTGAAAGAAGGTTGGAGGTCAAAAGAGCAGTCTAACAGGTAAATCATGACTTTTATAGAATGTCTTCCCAATTTTCAACTCTGTGTTTGTTCAGAGAAATGATGAATTTGGAATTGTTTAAAAGATTAGCCTAGTAAGCCATGTGAAATGCCTTTTAAACCGTTCGTAGGGCCGGCAAATCCGACGATTACCCGTGTCCTTTCCGACTACGGTAGGGGATGCGAAAACGGATTAGAAATTGGAATCCAAATCATAATAACAGAATATTGCCTTACAGATTAGGGTGTAAAATACCACGTTTTATTGAGAAAAGTCCGAAATTGAGTTAATATCCCGTCAAAACTATAAAAATGCGTTATATCATTGAAAAATCACCGATTTTTTGTTGAAAAAATCCATAGTTGGACTAAAAATCATGATTTTCATCATGGATTTTTTCAGCTAATCCTAAAATTGCCACTACCAAAGCCATGACCTTATACTATGTTTATCTTCCACATACAGACAAGATAAGCTACACTTCTAAAATCCGAGAAAATGCATTGTATTTTTGCATAAATCTGCTTTGTTTTTGGCTAATCTACTAGGTGAAATGTTACATTTTTCTGTTCCTAATCCTTTCTAGAACAGTTGAGAATATTTTTTTAATAGTTAGATTGAAAATTTGAAGTTTTTGAAATGTAAAAAAATCCAAAAAAATTAAAAAATTTGAATATCCAAAAAATCAAAATAAAAAATTTGAATATTCAAAAAATAAAAATAAAAAATTTGACTATTCAAAAATCAAAAAAAAAATTAAAAATTAAAAATTTTGATTAAAACACTCAAAAAATTAATTATAATTAATTTTTACCCTCATAAAAATAAAAAATTTGAATATTCAAATTACCAAAAAAAAAATGGAAAAAAACCCCAAAATCATCAAAAATCAAACTTACAAGTTGGATAGTTTTGCCTGAGGTCAGCGGCCTGTGTGAAAACCCCGATGAATGCCAAGAGCCAGCCCAACAAGTACGCGGAGATCATCATGTCCAAGTGTGAGTGTGGTCAACGGAGGGAGCAAGAGCGGGCCCGAAGGTGGGCGTGTCTGAAGGCAGAACCAACTATACTCGAGCGGCACAAAGGGACGTTAATGATTAACGCGTGTGAGGTAACGGAAAGTACACGGTTTTTATGGGGATGATGTTGCGGAGGAAAAAACTTGAAATTTCAATATGTATATGGGCATATGAAATTTCAATATGTATATGGGCATAGGAAAAAGTCAGCAATTTGGGGGAAATAAGGTATGATTTTGTGCCTTCAAACCTATACACAATGAATGGGAAAAGACCAAAAAATTTCCTATAAAATATCATGTTATACAGAGGTTCATTATGTCCCAAACTTGACTCATAAGACCTCTGAAAATCTTCGTTGTAAACAGGTTTTATTTTGCACACGCTTACTTGTAATAAGGCTTGACTGAAGTAAAAACAAAAAAACTTTGCCACCTATTACCATAAAGAGTTGGACCGAATCAAAAACCATTTTTAAGGTCCTTGCTTGAGATATATTTACACTTTTATCTTTTGCTGTATTCAATAGGACCGAAAGTTTACCAAATTAGAGGTAATTGTGAAGAGGGGAAATCTCAAAATCACGTTGCGAACTAGAGGCCGAATTTGACGTCTCCAAAGAGCGATGAGGATAATTTGGTACTTATATAAAGTTGAATGGAAGTTTGCAAAGCTCCAAAAGGCTGATTTATGCCTGGTTTACTGCATAGATAATCGAAAAAAGGCTCATCTTAGCATACCCTTATCACCGATAGATAATATATGTGCTGGTATCTTCAAGCGTTTCTTTCTGGAGCCTTCTCCTTCTACAATCCTTTGCGTCGCTCGCTGTAAAAATGTAACATTCGGGCTATCAAAATAAATCGTCAAAGAGTAACTGTAATCCCCGCTTAGCCCCGAAACGTATCAAGCAATATGCCCACAACGTCCTCAACTTTTTACAAAGTCATCATTTTGGATCCATAGGCAATGGCAACTATTTTAAGTCCTAGCGTTCCCCAAAATAACCTCATAAAGAAACATTGGATAAAAATAAATTTCTTGGAAACTAAAATTAAAATCCCTGAAATAAAAATAGATTTCAAAGGGAAAATTGCCCCAGGCCAGCTTAAAAAATCCAATCTAAAAACCCCGAGGATTAGCAGCATCTCCAGACTCAATTAACGGATAACCTCCCCTAGGTGTCAATGAGCATTCACTCGTGAAAAGTGCTGGTATTTTGGCTTTCAATTAAGATTTGGAAATTACAAAAAAAAACGTCTCTATGACGTTATGAGATAGGACAAGTGGAAAGGTGTTGAAAAGCTATCCAAAAATTTCAGAAATTAAGAAAAGGTCTGAATTTTATGGAAAAAGTGGAACAACCGCTCAGTTTGCACGTTTAGAGTTCAAAAAATTTCTAATGAATGTAGATATTATATCAAAATTAGTTAATAGAGTATTTCATAAGCCTATTTTTCATTACTTTCGTATTTTTTACGGAAATCTTTGTACAACGGCAGTCTTACTTGCGCCATTTTTGAGCTACAGCAAGTTTCTTTAAAACCCTATCAGTCTGTCGGGAAAATAATAAGCAAAAATTTCGTACAAGCATCTGGCATTATGAGGCGCTGAAATGAAAAGCAAAGGCTAGATTTCATAAGATTTGGCCATATTTATTCGAATTGGCAAATATTTTTTCGATCTGGCCACATTGAATTAATAATTCATTTTCTCGGCGGAAATGCAATTTTGCATGCAATAAAGTGCACATCATTTTCCCGACAGACTGATGTATACATATAGTGAACTTCATTGCAAACGAAATATGTCTACTACAAGCAATTTCGAGGGTCCAAAAAAGTCAATTTTTGGCCAGTATGCTCGAATGAAGACCGTAGCGGATAAATTTAGCAATACGATATATACAGATTTCACTGTATTTCTCTAATTTTGTAGAAAATCTTGCAAAAGCCCCAAAGAATGTAGTAAAAATCATTGTCATCTCCACAATTCATTTTGCACTAAATTTTCTCCGAAATGATGACAAATAACGTCCAAACATAGTAGATTCCTAAGCAAAAATCTGCAAAAACACAATAGTTATTATCATGGTTATCCCCTGCCCTTTCGACGACCCATAACACGCGGAATCGACTAAAACAAAAAGAAGAACGAAGTGATACGGTCAACGCAAATATTGACTTAGTAAGGGGATACAGAGAAGTTCCGCGGCTTTGGGCTTTCAAATCCCATCCATATGGAGTGGGGATGTTCGGCATAAGCATGCGAAAACGTCGGATATCCATGTTGTCATCGGGTGGAATGGCACAAAGATCGGGTGTTGCAAGTTGAAAGAGCATAAAGAACAAGGAAGTTCTTGTTTTAGGGCATCTGTAGAGCCTTCAGAAGGAGAATGGACAAACTTATCATTATAAAATCGCAAGAAGTGAGACTGATTTTACCACATATTGGCTAAAAGTATTGTCCAAAGTGACTTCCAAATTTTGCTCGTCTGTGTTTCATACGGATGAATGCAACGCATTTCCCGAACCGTTTAGACACATTGCCCACTCACAATCGACAGAAGAAAAGATTTCGGATGTCAAAGTTCTTTAGGAGGAACTTTTGGTGGTTCAAAAAAACCAAAAAAATTTTACATTTGTTTGTGACAAAGAACAAGGCCTTGTCCCAGCTAGCCAAGGGAAAGCCAGTCAAAAAGTTTTTTTGAAACTTGTATTTGTGTGGAAGTGCCACAACGATTAAATCTTTGTCAGAAAATAACTTGATTATAAAGCTTAGCGACGCTAAAGATTTCGACAAAACATGGCACAAATTTAGGATGAATTTTTCGTAGAGAACCACAATATTCCATGCTTGCGCTGTACAGTAATAATAAAGACTAATTTGAAAAAGCTTTTTTGCAAATTTCAGCAAGAAAGGTTTTTAAAAACAGTATTTTTTCGAGCTAAACTATGTACTAAAGGCAAAAAAAATCTCTTGGCCGCTCTCCGCACTTCGCGTACTCTCTCGGCCGCAAAGGTCGGTGAATTTCTCGGCTGCTCCTGGAAGGCGCGAGAAATTCAAATAAAGCTTTTAACAATTGATATATAGGGTGTGAAATCCCCAACGCGCTTGCTAAATTTGAAGAAAATTTAGGTCACGATTCGACCTATGTTGTACAGGATATCCACTGCTATTTTTTTGAAGACACCGTACAAAGATTTGTTCTAAATTTGCTCAATTTTCCATTACACTTCAAAAAACTCCTCGTGAGATTTCAAAACCATTTTTCAAAACTATTATTACCCCTCGTCTCTACAAAAAAAATTCTCATCCTGTCACAAACAACACTATAAAAATAATCCAACTATTTAGACATTCCGCTCTGTCACTAAAATAACAATTCTGTCCAAGTATTCAAGGAAACAGAAACAACCTTCAAACAGCTGTAAATTCACGAAAAGATCACACGACCGCCGAGCGTAGTCTATAAATATTTGGTAAATACTATATGTAGTTTAGCTTTAAAAACACGCGCTTTCAAAATTACCGGCCATTCAAGCGGGATTTCGACGTTGTCGCCAGGTAGCGGAAGTCATGCCATAAATCAAAAACACTCATGAAGACGTCGGGATATACATATCATGATTTAGCGTGGGAAATTGGTGGGGCTGAGACATAAATTTGACAAGAAGAAGAGTCCAAAAAGGTGATGCAAAAATTGCACTTTTGAGCTTTCGAAAGAGAATAAAGATGTATTTCCTTTTTCTGCAAATCTCAGACAAAGTCGCTAGACTCCTTGAACGATGAAATCGAGAAGTTAGAGGGTGAAAGCAATCCTTTCTTTGGGATGTAGCGCTTGGATTAGACTTTTAAACACCGAAAAAAGACTGAAGAGCTGAGAATAAAAGGGTTAAAATTAACGGTAATTACCTTCAAATTGGGCGGTTCAGAGTTCAAATCATGGATTTTGAGAGAAAATCCTACTTATTGTTTGTTGTTTATTCTTTACATCTCAAAAGATGAATTGTTAACCAGAGATTGCCACAGTCAAAATTTCGGCTCCGACTCCCATGAAAATTTTAAAAAGGTCTCAAGGCTCCCGTGCAAAAAAATTTTAAAAAATATTTTTCCAAAAATAAAAGTTATTAGTGCCAGAGATCATACACCCAACGTTTTTGCAGCCAAGTCGTATGTAACACATCCTTCCCAGTATTTTTTGCAAGTTGGTTTAACAAGATCATGAAATTTTTTACTTTTCTGAACGCTGAGATGCCTGGCTCCGACTTTAGGCTCGGGAGTCGGAGCCGCACCCAAAATTTCCGAGAGCCGGCTCCGGAGCCGTGGCAACCTGTGTTGTTAACTATAACTTTTGTTAACTGCAAATGACATTACTGAACATTATGTAAAAGCTCCAATCGAACCCCCATAATGTCTTGATGCTAGCTCGCTTGGCCCTCGGCCATCTACCGGAGATTCCAGCTGTGCAGTCCGAGAGTCACCTTACTCCAGCCTCGTGACCACATCGACTGGCCATACCGGGTGGGCTTAGGCCTCGATCGGGCCGTTGACATTTACAGGATCATCAAAAGGGGCGGAGTCTGAACCCATAAGTAGCGGCCCTATTCTGCACTTTTTTTAACCTCTGGACAACCACTTGCATGCAACAAAGGCTGTCTATAAAAACATTTTCAGAGGCTTTGAAGTGAATTTTAGGACTAAATGCCCCTCTATCAGTCTGTCGGGAAAATTGTCGAAATACGCATCATTGTCAAGAAAATTTATTGTGTCGCGGCAAAATCAAGTTATTTTTCATTTCAGCGACGCAATCGGCGTAGCAACATTTGCTCAATATTTTCCCGGCAGACTGAAGTAATGAAACAAATTTTCATGGGTCGATGTAAACCGTTGTACCAAGCTTAGAAAATAAAAAGTTTCCCCAAAAAACAGTGTAAAATGCACAGTACCTACTCCGTCAAAGCCTATGAA